GGTAACTTTGTCTCAGATTCTGAAACAAAATCCTGGATTTTAATAGCTTATGCTGCAATGATGATTATAAACCTTTAGGTCAGTCAGGAACCCATGACTTTTACAAGCCTGATTATCAAGATATTTATGATTGGAAATCGAAACCAAATTTTGCGTTTGCCTAACGGTTTTCATAACACTACAGTCTATGGGGGAAAATGAGTATGGTAAAACCGGTCACTCAAAGATTTTTACTTTTTTGAGGCACTTCTTGATCAATTTGAAGTGCGATTTTTTTTAGGGCTTCAATATTACACCATATTACAGACACTGATAACATGTAGGGCCGTGCATCTCAGATTTAACATTGTTAAACGATGCCTTTAAGGCAATTTCAGTAGCCCTGTCTAGGTACATCAATCATCACATCACGAGCATGAATTCATGCTCGGATTAAGTAATACCCATTGTAATGTTCACACAGTATTAAAATTGCCCTTGAATTGACTTTTGAAATTAGTTGAGAAACTTGAGATCATGTTATGTACCTCAGATTTTTGTAAAAATTTAGGTTGGAAGGGGAGGAGGAAATCATGGTCTGTTAAGCAGACTACACATGCATGCAGGTCAAGTGGGAGAAGGTCAAGGGGGGAAGGTTCCCTCATATCTAGGTCACTCTTTGACCCGAAGTAGTATATGTTGAATTTCTATAACATACAAAATCATAAGTACATGTATACATGTACCTATACAAAATAAAAAAGTATGAACTGGTAAAAGAAAAAAAACAAACTAGATGGAATTTTGACTGCGCGCAGTCGAAAATGATGCCTCCGCCATAGAGCAATTTAAACAAGTTTGGAGTTTAAATCTCCAGTGGTTCTTGAGATATCATGATAACAATCTCAATGTATGGAATTTCATAAGTTGACCTCTGTGACCCTTGACCTTTGACCTACGTGCTCCAAAATCTAATCAGATCGTTTTCCTATAGTGATACACACTATCACTAAGTTTGAAGTTTAAATCTCCAGTGGTTCTTGAGATATCATGATAACAATCTCAATGTATGGAATTTCATAAGTTGACCTCTGTGACCCTTGACCTTTGACATACGTGCTCCAAAATCTAATCAGATTGTTTTCCTATAGTGATACACACTATCACTAAGTTTGAAGTTTAAATCTCCAGTGGTTCTTGAGATATCATGATAACAATCTCAATGTATGGAATTTCATAAGTTGACCTCTGTGACCCTTGACCTTTGACATACGTGCTCCAAAATCTAATCAGATCGTCTTCCTATGGTGATACATACTATCCTTAAGTTTGAAGTTTAAATCTCAAATGGTTCTTGAGATATCGCGCTAACAAACTCAATACAAGGAATTTCATAAGTTGACCTCTGTGACCTGTGACCTTTGACCTACGTACTCCAAAATCTAATCAGATCGTCTTCCTATGGTGATAAATACTATTCCTGAGTCTTAAGTTTAAATCTTAAATGGTTCTTGAGATATTGTGATAACGGTCAAACGGGACGGACGGACGGACGGACGGACGGACGGACGTACGGACGGACGGACGTACGGACGGACGGACGTACGGACGGACAACCCGAAAACATGATGCCTCCGGCACCACCTTCGGTGGCGGAGGCATAAAAAACAACTGTATTCAGGCTATTTTAATCATATAATAACCTGCCATTCGCTTCTCTCCTCTGACTGCAGATAACAAAATATATTTTGGGGAGGCTACTTTTCAAGCTTGCCTGGACAAAAATAACACTCTAAAATTTGTTTTGCATTGAACTCTATGCAAATTTATGGGGGCTCTTTTCTAATTTTCGGGGGCTCTTTTTGGCATTTTGGGGGCAAATTCGCCCTGAACCCGTGTATTATTTCCACTGTCTGACTCTCAAGTTAGTTGTGATATGTGATGTCACATGGACAGCTATTCTGTTTGCTGTTCCGTATAATATCACTAATCTTGGTTTTCCCCCGAAGTGGTGTATTTGTATTTGTCCTGTGAATTGTGTAGTGTTTGTATAGCTGTGAGCATGATCGTTTATGAATTATGATGGATCCCTTTGTGATATGACAAACAGAGTATTTGTACACAGGGTGTGCACTGAAACGAGGAACAAATGCACCAAGGATATGGGCAAATATATACTTTTTATTTTTTACACATCCAGAAAGTTCAGTCTCGCACTTCTAACAAAGATGCCCGGCTAGGACAGACAATTCTCATCTCATATCTGTTAGAAAGTGCAACTGTTTGCACAAGCCTCCAAAGTGACACTTACCTGTATAGTGCAATTGGGCCTGAACATGTAAATCATAAAACATACACTGTGTATATAGTCTATTAGTGATATCTATAGATCGATTCATCCCCTTTAAAGAGAAGGTTGAGTTCTGGGAAGAGGTGAAAAATAATTTGTGAGCGTTATCATTCTTATCATGCAAGTGTGGAAGAACTTCAGATAAGACATGTTTCCCTGAAAAGCATGGCTCTTCAAATACCTTCATATTCTAAATATGTTATGTAACATCGTAAAACTTGGGGGTAGGATTTTTACGCCACATGTTCGCGTAGTCCTATATACATCTTTCTGTGTACAGTGTTTGTAACTTTACAAAGACTTGGCCAAATTTCTTATCATTTTGATGATTCCAGAACCTTGCAATACACACAAATTCTTATATGCTAAATGATCAACCTTTTCTGGTCGATTCCCGTTTCTTTCACAATGCAATCGCATGACTAGAACTCAACTTCATCTTTAATTCCAAATTCATTGGCAGATATTTGAACAGATTTTGATTTTTAAATCTGCAATGACTTGACAATTTATATTAATTTCATCTTTTTTCCAATCCTATATATGCAAAATCTGTTACGTTATAATTGTTATGAATATGGAATGGAGTGACCTTTTCTTCCATCATTTATTTGCTAATTTAGAGATTCACTTTTGATGTCCTTCTGTGTTGCTCTACTTTCTATGTGCATTTTCCTTGATATATTATTTTGTTCTCCTTTAGATTTCTTTTTTTGCAATAATAAAGATGTGTAATACCTAAGTATATATTCCTGTAGAGGTGTCGTCGGACTGTGGATCACAGGATCTGTGGTTCGAGTCCCGCCACAGCACTAATGTCCTTTGGCAAGACATTAATCTACATTTGTCACTCTCGTCCTAGGTGTTAAATGGGTACCGGTAAGAAGGAATTCCTTCAATGCTGTTAGCGCCGAAATCGGTAGCCGAGCAGAGCCAGGGTAATATTGAAGCGCCTTGAGCACGTAGCTTGGTGTATGTGCTCTATATAAACATTCAATATTATTGTTATTATTATATTCCACATGTTCTTATATAGTGTATTTGTTTTCATTATATTTATAGCCTGTTCTGTTCCTGCTTTCAAAGAGTTTCACCCTCCAATTTTCCTATTTTTGTTTGGGAAAAAATTACATTCCATGAAACTATTACTATAAAATTATTTTAAAACAGTTCAAACTAGTTGTTGACATGCTGACTGACAGATACAAAGATATTACACATGATTGTCACCGATCTCGGTACCCATGGGCATTACATCACTCCCACAGTACGGCCACCTGTTGGATCCAGTGATTACCGGTGATATTGACCGGTGATGACCGAGTGATTACCGGTGATATTGACCGGTGATGACCGGATGGTTAAGTGCAGTGTGTCCTTTATATGCCACTTCCTCGTCTGACCATAACACTAGGCCTGTCCTCATCAGCTCCAGATTGCCAAATAGCCAGCTATTTCTGATTTGGGAAATAATCTTGAAGTTTATACAAATCACTTCTTCATCAGCTCTAGACTTGACCTCGAAACTTGAAACTTGAGCTCGAGATATTTTGCTCAGCGTTTGCGCAAAGTGCGAGTCTTCGGGCTAGTGAAGACGCACCGGACAAATAGTGGGATATTTTGCAAACTACCGGTAGCCAAGATATCCTGGGCTGATGAAGAAGACACAAATATCCCGCTAATTGCAACTTCGGGCTGATGAAGACGCAAATTAACTGGATAATTTGAGATCGGGATAGTTCAAATAGCGGGATATTTGGCAATCTCGAGCTGATGTAAACAGGCCTATACTGTGTTTAGGAGGACAACCAGACTGATAAAGGACATGCGACATCAGAGATTCGGTCATGAACTTATCAATCATTTAAAACTGGACTGATCTGCTACATACAAATAATGTCAATGACAAATGCAACATACTGTACTCGATTAACTTCTAACAAATCTGAGATGCATGGCCCTACGTGTTATCAGTGTCTGTAATACAATGTAATATTGAAGCCCTAAACAAAAATTGTGCTTCAAAATGATCAAGAAGAGCCTCAAAAAAGTTAAAATCTTTTAGTGACCGATTAAACCATACTCGTTTTCCCCAATAGACTGTAGTGTTATGAAAATTGTTAGGAAAACGCAAAATTTGGTTTTGATTTCCAATCGTAAATATCTTGATAATCAGACAGGCGATCGGCTTGTAAAAGTCATGGGGTTCCTGACTGACCAAAAGGTTTATAATTATCATTGCAGCATGACCTAAATCCAGGATTTTGTTTCAGGATCTGAGACAAAGTACCTGGGGGGTGTTTCATAAAGCTGTTCGTAAAGTTACACATGACTTTACGAACGACTTAAATATGGAAAGCCACTGGGTGCTTAAATAATTTTTAACTGCATCGACTACAGTTGAACTGTGCAGATATAGATTAACATACTTATTATAACAATTTCTTTCAATGCAAAGTATAGTTTTTGCCATGATTTAAATAAGGTTATTGGATATATTAGTCACACTTTGTAAAAACATCTTGAAAAACTTTGGGCATCCTATCTGGCACTTCTCATTTAAGTTGTTCGTAAAGTCATGCGTAACTTTACGAAACACCCCCTGGATTCCTTTAAGTGTCTATTTATAATAATCAGTATCTATTTTGACTCTTCCATTCTCATTTATCAGGGGCCTTCTTGATGTGTACCTTCATTAAGGGGTTGAACGCAGAGGAGACGGCCTGCCTCACGAAGGCCATGATGCTGAGTGGTGATACCCTGAGCTGGCCTAAGGAGTGGGAGGATAAACTGGTAGACAAGCATTCTACCGGTGGAGTGGGCGACAAAGTGAGCCTCATCCTCGCCCCTGCTCTGGCTGCCTGTGGGATGAAGGTAAACAAGGAGAATCTCTCTCTCTTTCTCTCTCTGTCTTTTCCTCTCTCTTTATATATTGTTGTTCTCTCTTTCTCTCTCTGTATCTTTCTTTCTCTCTCTCTCCTGTCTTCTCTCAATCTCTGTCTCCTCTCTCTCTCTCTCTGTCTTTATCTTTCTCTCCCCCTCTCTTTTCTCTCTCTCTCTGTCTTTCCATCTCTCTCCCTGTCTTTCCCTCTCTTTCTGTCTTTCCATCATCTCTCTCTCTGTCTTTGCATCTCGCTCTCTGTCTTTTCCTCTGTCTTTCCCTCTCTTTCTGTATTTCTCTTTCTGTCTCTTTCTCTTTCCCTCTCTCTTTGTTTTCTCTCCCTCTCTCTATTTCTCTCTTTCTTTCTCTCTTTCCCTCTCTCTCTTTCTCTCTCTTTTTTTCTCTCTCTCTGTCTTTCTCTTTCTCTCTCTTTTCTCTCTTTTCTCTCTCTCTCTTTCTCTCTCTCTTTCTTTCTTTTCTCTCTCTCTTTCTCTCTCTCTATCTCTCTCTCTCTCTCTCTCTCTCTCTCTTTTTCTCTCCTGTCTCTCTCATTCTTTTTCTCTCTCTCTTTTTTTCTCTTCTTTTTTTTTTCTCTTCTATTTTTTTCTCTTCTTTTTTTTTTCTCTTCTATTTTTTTCTCCCCCCCCCCCCCCCCCCTCACCTTTATTCTCTTGAGAATATGATAATAACGTTGATAAAGTGTTCCTTATAATTATGTACATCTTATTTACCATGGAAAGAACCCTAACCTGCCATATTGTTTGGAGTATATGAAGTATATTATATTCATGCACTGATCAAATGTCAAAAGTTGACTGTGGCAGCCCACTGTTTGTTTTATTGGTCGACCAAAGTATATGGCCCGGTCCCAAACCCTCCCCCCCCCCCCCCCCCCCCCCCCCCCCCCTCTCTCTCTCTCTCTCTCTCTCTCTCTCTCTCTCTCTCTCTCTCTCTCTCTCTCTCTCTCTCTCTCTCTCTCACGCCAACATCCAACACAGTAAAAACATCATTTAACTTCCATTCCAATAGAAATGCAGTGATAAATGCATGTCACTATGAATATGACAGACAATGAAAGCGGACAAAATATACAGTTCCTCAGGTAGACAAAGGAACATCCCTTCACTGCTATTATGTACAAATGTGTAGAACAGGTGAATATGCATGTGACACCTGTTCTACACATTTTTACATAATAGCAGTGAAGGGATGTCCCTTTGTTTACCTGAGGAACTGTATATTTTGTCCGCTTTCATTGTCTGTCATGTTCATAGTGTGTACACATGATTGATATAAAAGAATGAGTTTGTTATTACAAATTTGTATTGGCTGTCTGCCAGCCTGCATTGTGTACTGTAAGTGGGTTTTCCCAGACACTTCTCTATGAAACCACGACTCATGGGTGAATCATTTATTGCATGCAACTGTCCAGTAAATTGAAGGCAATCCAACCTTGGTACTAAATTAATTTAATTTAATTTGTCTGAAAGCTGAATCATAAGTGGGTTCCCCTCCGCCCCCCCCCCCCTGGAAATCTCTCTATGAAACAATGACTTGTGAGTGAAATCTGTATCATTTATTATTAACCGTATCAGACATCTGAGCAGGGAAATTTTTAAATGTTATTGCCCTCAAGGTTTGATGGATAAGTCAACAAAATTACAATAAGTTAGTCCGCTCAGAAAAGTCAATGGGATTGTGTGTGTAATTTGGCGGGCAATATAGGTTATACAGTAAACCAATGCGCAAATATTTTAGCCCGCTCAGAAGAGTCAATGGGATTTGTGTGTAATTTGGCGGGCGATATAGGTTATACAGTAATCCAATGGACAAATATTTTAGCCCGCTCAGAAAAGTCAATGGCAAAATGCGTGTTAAACTAGTGAGCAATAATATAGTGCCAGTTGTAATTTACATCGCGCATCAGCTATTGTAATTTACATCGCGCATCGTGTATAAGAAAATGCGCGAATAATAAAACTTTGCGCGAACTCTTTGTGACGTAACAATCACACCCTAGGCAAACTGTTTGCAGTGTATCGAAAATCTGTCAAACACTGGATGAACAGTGCTGGTTTGACAATGTTTTTGCAATTTCTAATGCTAGGAGACCCTGTGTAGCCTACATAATTTAAGAGTATAAGATAGTAAGAGTTTCTTGTTTGCTCTAGATGTCTGATGTGGTTAATAATAGTAATATTGACTGCCTAATTCAGGGCAATACGACTTGTCATATATCACCCTCACCTTCGGTTCGGGCGATATATGTCGTATTGCCCAGAAGGCAGTCAATATTACTTAATTGCATGCAGCTGTCTATATATTCAAGGGCGATCCAACCTTTGTACTAAATTAATTCAATTTAATTTGCATGAAAGCTGAATCAGAATGGCAAAAGTTTGAAAAGTAAATCTGACCAATAATAAAATAGTTATGAGTGTTTGAAGTATGCTAGATCACTAAATTTTCAGACTGGCAATATTGTCCTATAGAGAGTGTTTAATTTAAAGCCCCTATGCACTAGTTTGGCCAGGAGGGATTAGACCTCCCTGCATGGTCACCAAATGGTGGTTATCTCATCAAATCAGCTCTCGATTAACATAAGAAAAAGGGGATCATGGGGGACCAATTGGTCACTGATTAGGCCTTGTTTGCTATATAGAGGGTGCAAATAGAGCTTATAAGTAGTGCAGTGGGGCTTTAACAGTCTGTTTAAATGCTGTAAATCAATGTTTCAGTCAATATTGCTCAGTCTGCATGAATTTGACTCCACTTTTCCATGTTCTACCAATCTGTGCATGCAGGTACCGATGATTTCAGGGCGCGGCCTGGGCCATACCGGGGGCACCTTGGACAAGCTGGAGTCTATCCCTGGATACACCGTCCACCTCCAATCAGAGCGGATGCGGAAGATCATGGAGGACGTGGGATGCTGCATCTGCGGTCAGACGGCCAATCTCGTCCCTGCCGACAAGATTCTCTACGGTATCCGAGATGTCACGAGTACCGTGTCAAGCTTGCCTCTCATCACAGGTGTGTTTAATCTTTTTCCATTGCGAATTAACCTGTCTATCTATAGCTACCGCCCAAGGGAAACACAAAAAGTGGTCTCTGTAGACAGGTGGTCTTTGTAGACAGGTTCCTTTAGTACATGTTTCAATGAGAAACCATTTTCAAGGGTAACAAAAAATGTGGTCTTTGTAGACAGGTGGTCACTAAAGCAGGTTTGACTGTATTTGTTTATGATGCTTGTTTCTATTGGTTTTATTATATACATGTACCTGTACATTTTGTTTGTATGAGTGCACACGCGTGTGTGTACTTGTGTGTCAATGGGTAGAATATGTTAAGAAATATAATAGTGAGTTAGGGTCATGTCATTTTTAACTTCAATTCAATTTCAATTTTGTAATTTATTTACTTTGTATACCTACATGTATTTGCCCTGATATTGTTTATGAGGATAACCTAGATAGGTATTTATACTTCATTCTTTATGAGAATAACTGTTAAAACAGTCGTAATGCCCCTGTGCAATTATAGCAAGTGTAAAGAACATAGCCTGATTTCTATGATTTAAATTGATAACTAGTAAAATATTGACAATTTTTCATGTGATGTAAAGTATTTACTTGCACATGTTGGTCTATAATTGTATTTAGAAATGATGAGTTATTTAGAATAATGGATATGATTCAAATAAACTTTTTTCATCTGCCTTAAAATCTGTGTCCTTTTCTATCACAAGGAAACTGGTTTTTAAACTGTCTATTGCATTGCCTAATTTTCACATTATTTTGATTCTCATCATCATTGGTAATGAGCTTAAAAGTAATATTCTTTCATAATATGACAATATTAATGCATTCCATATTGGAACTGAGTTGCCCCTGTATTAAGCCTGTGGGAATGAACACATTCAGTACTCAATGTGTTAATAAGAGTGCTTTTTGACTTACAGGCTCTATCATATCTAAGAAGGCAGCAGAGAGTGTGAATGCTCTGGTGCTGGACGTCAAAGTGGGCAAGTCTGCCATCTTCTCTCAGGATGAAACGCTTGGGAGGGAAATGGCTACATCATTGGTGAGTCAGGAGTGTAGGATGGGAGGAGATAACAGAGAGAGAAAGAGAGAGACAGAGAGATAGAGGGAGAGAGGGGAGAGAGAGTACAGAGAGAGAGGGGGAGAGGGGAGGAAAGAGAGAAAGATAGAGAGAGGGGGAGAGAGAGAGGGGGAGAAGAGAGAGGGGAGAGAGAGGGAGAGAGAGGGGAGAGAGAGGGAGAGAGAGGGAGAGAGAGGGGAGAGAGAGTAGAGAGAGAGGGGGAGAGGGGAGGGAAGAGAGAAAGATAGAGAGAGGGGGAAGAGAGAGAGAATGAGAGAGAGAGAGAGAGAGAGAGAGGGGAGAAGAGAGAGGGGAGAGAGAGAGAGAGAGAGGGGGGGGGGGGGGGTGAAAGAGGGATGGAGAAAAAGAGGGAGGGAAGAGAGAGAGAGTGTGTGTCAGGAGTTACATGTAGGATGGGAGGAGATAACAGAGATAGAGAGAGAGAGAGGGAGAGTGAGAGAGAGAGGGGAGAGAGAGAGAGGGGAGAGAGAAAGAGAAAGAGAAAGAGGGAGGGAGAAAAAGAAAGAGGGAAGGAGAAAGAGAAAGAGGGAGGGAGAAAGAGAAAGAGAGAGAGGGAGGGAGAAAAAGAAAGAGGGAGGGAGAAAGAGGGAGGGAGAAAGAGAGGAAGGGAAGAGTGAGAGAGAGGGATAAAAGGAGGAGGGAGAAAAAGAGGGAGACTAAAAGATAGAGATAGACAACAACAGCAGCAGCAGCAGCAACAAACTCACAAAGAAGGTAATAAAGTTTTTTGTCAGATATATTATGGAGCTGATATCGGTGCGGGGGGGGGGGGGGGGGGGCATATTTTGTTCTTAAATGTGTACTTCAGGTTTTCCCCAATGCCCCTTGGATGAGTCTGTATTTCATTGTAAGAGGACAAGTTGTAATGTATGCATTTTCTCCCATATACAGACTTCATGAAATATTTTTAGTATAGGTTTATCTCGTAATTGCATCAAGTTGGTAGCCCTATTAGAGCTCAGATCGGATGAAAATATTGAGAATAATCATACTTCAAATGATCAATTCATGTCCAATATTCCCTTGTTCTTTGTAAAATAAAGGACACCAAATAATCAAAGTACAATAAAGTACCGAAGCTGTGACATCACAATATCTATTCTAAACATTTCTCAACTCTGTCTTCATTTTCCGAAAGAGCATCAAAAATAATGTCCAAAAGTCGAAAACCAGTTGAAAATGCTAAGTATTGGCTGAGATATGATCATCTGAATAAAAAGATTTCCAATAGGAGCTCAGTGTTATATTGCTCTGGTTCATATAATTAGAAGCCAGAGCAATAAAACACTGAGCTTCTATAGGAAATCTTTTTATTCAGATGGTCATATCAGCCAATACTTAACATTTTCAACTGGTTTTCAACATTTATAAATTATTTCTGAGGATCTTTCGGAAAATGAAGAAAAAATTGAGAAATTCTAAAAATAGATTTGTGATGACGTCACACTTTACCACTCTATTGAATTGCCCCTAAATATTTGTTTTCTTTTCTAATGATGTGTGCCTATGTAGGTTAAGGCCAGCAGCATGCTCGGGACGAAGTCTACCGCCCTCATGACGAGGATGGACAACCCGATCGGTTGCTGCATAGGAAACACCCTTGAGGTCGCCGAGTCCATCCAGTGTCTCCGTGGAAAGGGGCCAACAGACCTTCGCACACTTGTAGAGGAATTAGGTAAGCTTGTACTCTTTCTAATAAGTTCTCCTCTTTGTATTCATGTATCTCGGTCACTACGCTAAACGGAGTCCAAACCGACCAATTAAAGGTCATTCATGGTAATACAGTGAAACCTGTCTATAAAGACCACCAAAGGGAGATAAGAAAAGTGGTCATTATAGGTACAGTAGGTGATCTTCATGTGCAGGTTCCTTTTAACATGTTCAATGAGAAACCATTTTCAAGGGAAACAAAAAAAAATGTGGTCTTTCTATACAGGTGGACAAACACCATTGATCAAAACCAAAAATGTCCTACAGTACACGCCGAAAATCTCCGCAACACGATTTACACGATTCAAAATTTACACGATTCGACTGCTCGCGGGAATCGTGTAACCATTTATTTTTACACGATTCGTTTTTTGCCAATGAAGCGAAATTTGAATCGTGTAAACGTGTAATCGTGTAAAATTACACGATTCCTCAATTCAGGTCGAATCGTGTAATCGTGTAATCTGCCCGCCGAAAATCTCCGCAACACGATTACACGATTCAAAATTTACACGATTCGATTGCTCGCTGGAATTGTGTTACAATTTATTTTCAGTGGTGATGGTGAGCAGGTTAAGGACGTCTAGTTCAGTAAAAGCAAGAAGTTACTTCTTGGTTGAACGAGGACAACGTGGACGATACGAGGGGATAGCGAAGATTACGCTTTCTTTCTCTTGTATATATTTTTAATTGCAGTGTCTTGTCTCTAGTTTTATTATAGAATGTTTGAAAGTTAAAAAAATCAGTCCACTTCCCGAAAAGCACTCTCGGATTTAATCCTCGGTGAGAAAAAAGCGATGAACGACGAAGGAAGGGGGAATTTTGTTATTCCTAAGTTGTAAATAAGTAAAAATGATTACAAAATGTAAAGGAGGGCTAACATAATTGATCGTTCGTTCGTTCGTGCAAAGAATATCAGGGAGTACATCATCTAGATAGGAAGATCCTTATTGAGCCAACAGATCGTCTCATCATCGAGCTCACGAAGTCCGGAAGCGCCGTGGGGGGATTTGTAGATCGGACAATCATCAATGACATGATCCATAGTTTGGATCTCTCCACAGGCGCAGTTTGGTGATGATTCAGCTCCAATTTTATGTAGGAAATATTGTGTGCGGCCAACTCCAGTTCTGACACGGTTTAGGTTGACCCAGGCTTTTCTTGGGAGGTCGCTGCCACTTGGTTTTGCACAGGGCTTTGGGATGAACTCCTTCAGGTTGGTAGTGGACGAATTCCACTGGTCTGACCAGCGTTTTGTTATCCAAGTGGCTAAGGTGGAGGGGGGGTTCTCAGGCCGCAGCTCAGCAGCCTGTGTTGCAAAGTGTCTTCTAGGGAGACGCTGTCCTTCAAAGGCAGAGGGGGCAGGAACAAGGCATTTATCTCTGTCATGCTTTTGGGCAAGCTTAGCATACTGCGCATCTCGTCTGAGCTGAGCTGGTGGTATGCCAGATAATATTGGCAGGTTGCTGACTGGTGTTGCAGTGAGTGTTCCGCTGATTAGTCTCATAGCGTCATTGAGGACAACATCAACCTTGTGTACATGGGTGCAGTGGCTCCATGCAGGTGCAGCATACTCGGCAGTGGAGAAGGCAAGAGCTAGAGTGGAGGTGCGAAGGGTGGTGAAATTAGCTCCCCATCCGGTCCCTGCAAGCTTCTTTAGGAGAGACACTCTGGCTTGGGTCTTTTGGGCTGTGGCTTTGGCATGCTCGTGGAAGGTGAGGCTTCGGTCAAGAGTGACACCTAGGTACTTTGGTGTTGAGACGAAGTTCAGCCTAGACCCATCTAGTGAGATATTCAGCTCTCGGTTGGCGCATCGGTTAGCCAGGTGGAAGACGGAGGATACAGTCTTTGTTATGCTTATCTTGAGATGCCATCTGTTGAAGAACTCGGCTAGCATTTTCAGGTCCTTCTCCAGTGATGTTTTGATTGCTTCGAAGGAGTGGTTGTTGAACCCCAGTGCGGTGTCGTCTGCGTAGGAGTACTGCATGCATTCCCCTTTGGGCATATCAGAGACATAGATGTTGAAAAGTATCGGAGCGAGGACAGAGCCTTGCGGCACACCATTGCGGAGTTTCCTCTTCCTACTGCATTCGCCGTTTGATGTTTCGAGGACAAATGACCGGTCTTGTACAAGCAGCATGATGAATTTCACGATTCTTACATCTGGAATGGTCTGCAGGGTCTTGAGGTATAAGCCACGGTGCCATACTGTGTCAAATGCCGCAGTAAGGTCGACAAGAACTGCACCAAACTTCTGCTTCTTCTGGAAGGCCGTCTCTATGTCGTTTACAAGCCTGACTACTTGGTCGGTGGTTGATTTACCTTTCCTGAAACCTGCCTGTGTAGTGGGTAGCTTCTCTTCGACAGTGTCAACGATTCTGGCAAGTAGCAGCCTTTCAAGTAGCTTGTAGATGTGCGATAGCAGACTGATTGGACGGTAGCTCTTGGGTTCGTCTGCAGGCTTCTTGGGCTTCAGAATGGCAATAACTTTAGCGGTCTTCCATTTTGATGGAATAGTGGATGTTATCATGCAGGTAGAGAGAAAGGCTTGTAGCCAGGAAGTAGCTTTGTGACTCATGTTCTTGAGGAACTCTGTGTGGATGTTATCGTTGCCTGGCGCTTTGCCGGACTTTATTGATTTCAGTGCAGTTTCAACACTGAAATCAATAAAGTCCGGCAAAGCGCCAGGCAACGATAACATCCACACATAATTGATACTCTTACATTACAAGGCTTTACCAATTAGAATTACGGTTCACTAGCTCATTCGTTACTATGAATATCGTTATACTTTTTTTATTCAATCATTATCCATTTTACAAACCTGGTTTGTAAAAACGCGTCATATGACGCAAGAAAACCAAGGTTTGTCGACAAACCTCCTTTGTGAATTCGGGCCTTAGACTTTGATCACTTATTGCTTTTTTAGCGTTCCTCATTTTCGTAAATTACCTTTTAGAACATTGCATTATTCAGCTATACATGTATGTATAAGGAGCTACGGTCAAGGCTTAAGGGCACACTTCCTGTCACATACAAAAGAAGCTTACTCTGAATGTGGCCTGCCATTGACCCTCGCCGGGGACAAAGGCCGTTGCCCTAGCTACAGGCAGAGATCCTTACATAATACCTATTGTTCAGGGGGTTCCCCTTGAACATAGGATCCCCCTGAACAATAGGTATTACATGTACGTAAGTATGTAAGCCACTGGCTACAGAGTGTAGGGAACAGTTGCAAGCCGAGAATGAATAGAATAAGTGAATGGCCAACTGTCTTTGAGTTACGTTTAGCTAGCGGCACAGTGTCCCCCCACTTTTTCAAGTTCCCCCAAAGTGCCCCTTTGTATGTAGGAAAGTACCTATTTTACTTTGACAAGTGTCCCTATTAATTTGTAAAAGTGCCCCTTCCCCTTTTCAACTCTGATAAGTGCTCCTTTTCTTTTGACACACACCCCTTTTCCTTCGACGAGTTCCTATTTTCCTTTACAATAAGTGTCCATTTTCCATTCTCATTAGTGTCCTTTTAATCTCTAGTAAGTATCCCTCTTTAAGTACAAGAAGTGCCCCTCTTCACTTTTGATAAATGCGCCCATCAACTCCGATAAATGCCCCTATTAAAATCTGATCGGTGCCCCTTTTCTTTCAACTAAAGCTTTTTTATCTCTCTCTCTCACTCTCTCTCTTTCTTTCAATATCTTTCCATTCCCCCATATCTTTCTCGCCTCTCTTTCCCTCATTATGTTCCCCTCTTACCTTATTTATTTGTCTCTTTTCCTCTCCGTTTCATAGCCTTCTCATTTCTGTTAATTTTACTAGGTTTCGCCCTTCTTTTTTTTATTACTCTATTTCACTCTTTCTTTTCTTCCGGTCAACTTTTTAGTTTTCCCTTTTTTCTCTCTTTTTTTCTGTTTATCTTTATCGTGCCTTTCAACCCTCATTTTCCTTTTATATGTTCCCTCCTCCTCGTAGCTATCTCTTTTCCTTTACTATTTCATCTATCATGTCTTCCTGTTTCTGACGTTTTCCTACCTTGTCTCACGGATTAGTATACGATACATGTTAGTGGAAAGTGCTGAGGTTTATACACGAATATAAAGTACAGTAATTAACTGATGTACACTGAAGGTAAGTTGTGTATAAAGCAATTGGTGTAAGCAGGATAAGATTTAACGATTGTTGCAGCTTGTCGCATCGTTCCACCAATGCCCTTATAACCCTAATAACTATTTACACGATTACACGATTCAGAGCGACATTCTTCGACATACACAGTTACACGATTGTTACATCTGGTCGAATCATCCGACCAATGCACTTAACTATTTACACGATTACACGATTCAGAGCGACATTCTTCAATCGTGTAAATTTACACGATTACACAGTTACACGATTCAGGTGAATCGTGTAAACCGTGTAATCCTAAAAATAAATCGTGTAATCGTGTTGCGGAGATTTTCGGCGTGTACTGTATCTTAGAAATTTCCTCTAAGTATGATAATCTGTCATGAAAGCCTTCAAAGAAGTTTTAACAACACTGATTGTTAAAACACTTCCCCATTGGTGATACTCTTTCAGATTACGATCTCAAAGTGTACGGAAATACTTCCTGTATTGGTCTGTTAATACTCTTAAAGGTAATGCAAAATTTTGGAAAATTTGGAAAATTGGATGGATAGTAATTCTTTGAAATGTTGATATATATTTGGATGCCCCTGTGCATGTATTATAAGTACTAAAAAATTCAGCCCCTAAAACACTTCTGCTTTTGAGAAATTGAATTAATGGCAATTCCATGGTAGCTGCGACCATGAAAATCTCAGAATATGCAGTTCTGATATGTAATTTCCAAACGGGAATAGCAAGTCGGTTGATTGTAGTCAAGATACATTGTTTTAAAGCTAAAATAATATCAGTCTTGAGAGGGAGCTATACAACATAAAGAGTTTATTATTTACAATTCTATCACTTCCAACCGCGACATCGATCACTGAATGTTGTAAAATCGCATATGCCTCAAATATGTTTATTTGAACCAAATTCATGACCCCATACCAAGACTTTGTATTACCTTTAACAGGCAGGGATATTTATTAGGTGATCTGCCAGGTAGCGTCGCAGAGCTAGCACATATTTATTTCGTCAGAATCTTTTTTTTTGTTTTCCTTTCTCTGTGTATGGATTTGTTCGCTTCAAATTTCATGAGATGTGCCATATGCTATGCTATATCATTGATCATAACAAATAGATTGTGTTGTTTACTGATGCGTGACATCATCTAGGGGCCATTTTGTTAATTTCTATTATTGACCATATTTCCGTAATACTCTGTCATACACTGTAATTTCTAGCTGTCATACACTTTAATTTCTGTCATACATTTTAATTTCTGAATGATTCTCCCACTCTCAATGTATAGCTTTTCTTGCTGCTCTCTACGATCCGACATAATCGTATAATAAATAATTAGAACTCTAACTTTACGAACATGCATGAACGACTTATTACTTTTTGTTTGTTCACCTACACTTGTCATTAATTTTAATGGTAAAGGATTGTACCAAGCAGCAGTCAACGCAATCATTTTTATTGTTTCTACGTCCTTGATTACTAAAAGAACTTGTACATAGGCATGTTATATGGGTGGAGGGTGATATTTATTTTAAACTCCAACTGATCCAATCTCCCATTGATCAAGTTTCTACATGTGTTATGTCTCGATCAAAGCAGCAGATAACCTCATTTGTCTAGTTTGTCTTTTGGTTTCATTTTCTTCTGGAATGTACACTGTATTCTAAATATATTTTGAATTGTTGACTGTCCCAGATTATCATGAAGATATCAAACGCGACAATCTAAAATTAATCATAGAAATTATATTTGTTCATAGTAAACATATTCATAGTGCACAAACGATGCAAGTTATATTGGGTTAAAGTCTGCACTTCTAAATGCAAAAAAAAACAAACTTTGTTGCTTGTGTAGAAGAATTCAAAAGATGCCCAAGTTTATAGTTTGTATGCTGCATTTAAATCCTGTTTCAACTGAACATAGTCCAGCAAACTTGTGTTTATGCACTGGAAAATCAAAAGATGCCAGTTTAGGTCCGTCTCCTACTCACATAAAGGAATCTCCCTTTTAGTGTTTCACAGACATTTTTAAACACAATAACAAATATTAAAGATAAACTCCAGTACTGGTAAAAAAAAAAAAAAATTCTCACAGAATCAAACGAAACTTACACTGAATGTTCAAGATTACAAATAAATGACATGTGCCAAACAATTTTGGAAGAAAATGTATACTGGCTGAGTAATGAGCATAGAAAGACAAGGAAATCAAGGTAGTAGCCCCGACACCATGTGTGTTGTCCCATATATAGCTTTATATGTGAGTGCTTGTTACTTTACCAAGACTCGGTCAAATTTATTATGATTTTGATCACTACAGAACCTTGCAGTGCACACCAATACTTACATGCTACATGATCAACTGTTTCTGATCCTTTCCACACCTTTTCTTTCACAATGCAATCGCAATCGCATTACCAGTACTAAAGTTTATCTTTAAGCTAGGTCACCTTACTGTGTTGCTCAGGTATCAGTAGATATATCCTATTCATTCAACAGTGAAAGGTGGCATTGTGAAATATATTACGGTGTGAATAGTCTGCTATCCCTTTCTTGTATTTGTATGGAATAGAAATACAAGGTCATTTATGATCTGAATGTCTGAATAACATCCCCTTTTGCACTTGCAGTGTGTTTAAAAAAATATTTGTAAAGTAGAAATATTTATATGTATATACAATTGTTATTGAAGTTGGGATAGGGAAAGAGGAAGGGGGGGGGGAAGAGGAAGGTTGAGTAAAAGGTAAAGGTTGGGATAAGGAGAAAGGTTGAGTATTAAAATAGGGTGATAATTGACATGTACATGTAATAAATATGACCGGGGGGGGGGGGGGAAGGAGGAAGAACGGAAAGGTAAGAAGAAAAAAAGAAGAAGGATGAGGATGAGAATAGGGAGGATCGAGGAGATACAAAACATAGGGAAATTAGAAGAAGAAGAAAACAAGATTATGGAGGAGGAGAAAGAGGAGAAGAAGGAGGAGAGAAAGAAGGAGAAGGAGAAGAAAATTATTAAAAACTGTGTGTTACAGGAAAATTCCAATTAAAAGAAAAAGAAGAGGAAGAGAGAGAAAAGGAGAAAGAAGAAAAGAAAATGCCATGAATAAAATAATTGATGAGAGTGAGAGATTAGGGGAGGAGAGAGGGGGCATTTATCATGTAAAGTACATGTAAGCCTACATGTTGATGTCATCATTATACTGGTATTTTTTAATCAAATAAATCATATTCCTATACTGTTTTTCATTTTTCAATTTTTGCAGATGGGTGTGTGTATAAATCATATACTCATATGTCTTTTTTAATTTTTAAATGTGTGCAGGTGGATGTCTGATTGACTCTCTTCTTCAAGGCACCTGCAATGGCAAACAACAGATTTCAGACACCCTTGATAATGGAACAGCCCTGGCCAAATTCCAGGACATGATTATAGCCCAGGGTGTCGATGGGTGCCTGGCCAAACGGCTCTGCGGGCTACCCATGGACAACATTGATGAGGTCTGGCAAGTTCTAAAGAAGGCTGAAAACAAGACCCAGCTGAAGGCGGAGAAAACAGGTAATATATATATATATATATATAAGCAATTGTCCAGAAATGTTTGGTTTTGATCAAAAAAGTTTCATATTTCCTCTTTAAACAATTGAATCTTAATTTGAAAATTGAACCAAAATACCAGAAAATAGCTTGTTACTGTGACAAGTTGATATTAAGTTAAGCAATTCAAACCAAACTTAGAGGGAGTATCTATGGGTATACAAGGATATGAACTGATTTGGTTTTGGGTGGGAGAGGTCAAAGGTCTCAAGGTCCCCAAATTATTGACAATAGCTAATAATATCTTGTTATCCTGTTAAAATTTACAAGCATTGAAAAGCAGTTCAAGCCAAACCTAGCTCAAGAATATATGAGCCTTGAAAGAATAAGCTAATGAAAATTTAGGCTTAGCATATCAAAGGTTGAAGGTCAAATGATTAAAAGTTGTAATATCTTACTTTGTGATAATTTAATAATTGATAATTTTATAATTTTTACAGTGGTGGTTATTTTACCTGACAGCTAAGAAAGCAAGTGCTTGTTAGTAAGCAACCAGATAATCCACAAGTAAAATTGAAACAATTTTGCCCAATTTGGGCTCAAGAATATTATGAGTATTAAAGTGAAAGGAGTTTGGGTTTGGGAGGTCAGATGTTTGAGCATTAAAAGATCGAGTTTAAGGAGTTTAGATTGTTGAGGTGTGGTGTTCAACGTCAAAGGATCATTGATCAATATCCACATCACAGACGCAGTCACATTCATCGTTTCTCTTTGTGACATTGCTCAGGCTATATCTCCAGCATCAACTCACTGGAGTTGGCCAAAGTGTGCCTGGAACTAGGAGCTGGACGAGCCGTTGCCACGGCAGCCGTTGACCACTCTGTTGGGGTCAATCTGCTGGCTCATGTGGGGTCACATGTCAAGAAAGGTAGGCATGAAATTATATTTTAACCCTCAAAGGAAAAGATGAAATTGTTGTTGGAAAAGAATTTTTGACCATAAACCAAGATATAATGACCCCAAATGGAGTCAAAGATTAAAACAAAAAAGATTGGCATGAATATGAGCCATCGTGTGATAATTGCACTTACATTTTTAACCATGAAGGAAATACAAAGTGGTTGTTAGGAAGGAAATTGTAAGCGTTGCTTCGACCCCAAGTGGGTTTTGAAGTTGAGAAAAGTCACCAATAAAACAAAGCTCTCAACAAAATCTTGAAATATGTGAAGAAAGACTGAAAATTACACTTACAGTGTATGTAGGTTTTAGTCAATATGTACATCTAGAAAGGGGGATTACTTGTGCAACATGGCCCACTGTGTGTCATCCATTAGGGGTGTGTCACTTGGCCCTCTTACCACTGACAGGGCGAGGTAAAGGTTGCAATCGATACCACACGAATTTGATCGTTGAGACCTGAATAGCCATTTGTGAATTTGTTGAGGTCCGATAGCTGAATGATATACCTGAAGAGATACATGCCAATGTAAAGTTCCGGTAGACATTATTTATAATATACAGGTTCCTCACTATCATGAACAAATAATTTGCAAAAGTTGAGGACCACCCATACAACATACATGTTAATGAACTTCAAGAAACTTGCTGTAACTCAATTCAATTGTTTCATTTTTCCAAAATAATTAGAAAATCTTACATCAAATACGATTACAATACAATTCACGTAAGATAAGGAAAAATAGCTGAAGCTTTAGGGTTGAAAAGTTCCCTTACTACAGTATGATAATCAAACTGACCATGAATGAAAAGTAAGAAAAATATTCTGAGGTTACACTTACAGGCCCAAATTCACAAAGCAAGGTTTGAGCTCAAACCTCCTTTTGTTTCGCCAAACCTCCTTTTGTTCTTTACAACCAGGTTTGTAAAAAATGCGTAAAACGCGTCATATGACGTACGAAAACCAAGGTTTGTCGACAAACCTCCTTGTGAATTCGAGCCACATTGCTCAAAACTGATAAATCATCATGTTTGTCACTATAAACATGACAAACAAAGAAAGCGGACAAAATATACAGTTCCTCAGGTAGACAAATGAACATCCCTTCACTGCTATTATGTAAAAATGTGTAGAACAGGTATCACATGCATATTCACCTGTTCTACACATTGTAACAAAATAGCAGTGAAGGGATGTTCCTTTGTCCACCTGAGGAACTGTATATTTTGTCCGCTTTCTTTGTCATTCATATTCATAGTGACTATCAATCACACAGGGAGGGAGGAGGAGGGGGGAGGGGAGGAATCGGGATTCGGGGGCCCAGTCAGTTGTGACTCATATATACGTAAGCAACTAAAGTGACCAAAGACTGACCTGGACCAGCCACGAAAGAGTGACAGCCCCTTGGACTGACCTCATGTTTTTGCTAATTTGATATTCAGACTTCAGGAAACAAATGTCATTCTGAGGGTTAGTTTTTTGATGTGTCATACACCCTTGAATCTTGAATGTTCATATTTTTTTCACTTAAGGAGAGTCCTGGATCACTGTGTACCTGGCTTTCATTTAGTCGCGCTGTATAACAGGAAACTAATGTCATTCTGAGGGTTATTTTTTGATCCGTCATACAACCTTGAATCTTGAATGTTTATTCCGTTGTTCACTTTAGGAGAGTCCTGGGTCACTGTGTACCACCAGGCTTCGGACTTCACTGAGAAACTATCCAACAGACTTCAGGCTACCCTTGAGTATTCAGACCATCCAGTCTCAGTCCCAAACATTGTCATTGATGTTGTCAGGCCATCCTAAGACTCCCATTACTTTCTCGATCGAACACTTGATCTGGCAACATTTTCTTCAGGACTTCATTTGTAAGAGATATTGGGTGAATGCTAAACTGCAATTGGGTGCCGGTACTCTTTTATTGAGCTATCACATTCCTTTCTAGTGGCCTAATATTCTGGCTAATGTATATAGCTTAGAGAAACGTAGTGGTATGAAAAGACCTGGTGCATGGAACGCAAAATAGATAATAGTTGAAAATCACTAATACTGATGTAGAATTTGAACCGTATTCACGATCATCAGGACAGTTAGCTTGTATACCTCAGCTACCCTTAGTAGACACTATAAACATGACAGACAAAGAAAGAGGACAAAATATACAGTTCCTCAGGTAGACAAAGGAACATCACTTCACTGCTATTATGTAAAAATGTGTAGAACAGGTGTCACATGCATATTCACCTTTTTACATAATAGCAGTGAAGGGATGTTCCTTTGTCTACCTGAGGAACTGTATATTTTGTCCGTTTCTTTGTCAGTCATATTCATAGTGAGACTTTATATTATCTGATCTTTCATTCAGCTTTGCTCAATTACATACACTCTTCATGACAGATGTACAGAAAATGTAGTTATTATATTTTTCCTATAATATTTATTTTATGTCAGGTTTGAAGGTTTTAGTGTGTGCACCTTGAAGAGTCTGTAGGCCTAGCCTGATTGCACAAACTGTACAGTCTGTCTAGCTTCATTTACATAAATACTATATATATAAATGAATGCTGGATTAGGAGTCATACAAACAGTTATATATATTTGTATTTATAGAACCTAGAATTGACTAGATAGACGGCGCTATATAAATGCCCATTATTATTATTATTATTATTATTATTAAACTTCTTGTTGTGATATTTATTTGATACTATAGTCCATGTGTGATGATGAAACATTCTATTTATAATGCTACATTAGGCCTGTCCTCACTAGCTCGAGATTGCCAAATATTCCGCTATTTGAACTATCCCGATTGCAAACTATCCAGCTAATTTGCGTCTTCATCAGCCCGAAGTTGCAATTAGCGGGAAATCTGGTCGGAATTGTCATCCCAAGATATATTGGGATAGTTTGCAAAATATCCCACTATTTGGCAAAATATCCAGCTATTTGTCCGGTGCGTCTTCACCAGACCGAAGACTCGCACTATGCGTGAACGCTGAGCAAAATATCTCGAGCTAATTTCTCAAGGTCGAGTTTCAAGTTTCGAGGTTGATTCTCGAGCTGATGAAGACGCGATTTGTAACTTCAGGATTATTTCTCAAATCAGAAATAGCGGGCTATTTGGCAATCTCGAGATGATGAGGACGCGCCTATTGTAAACCATTCCTCAGATACCTTGACTTTTTTATTGCTTAAATATCTTACATCATTACCAGTATGTTAAGTAGATGTTTATACACAGGTGTATTCGTATTTTCATTTAGGAATCATGTTTAATGATATGTATGCTGCTGCATACAGACCCATGCCTCTGATTGGTAATATATCGTAGATGTAAAATTGCAACCTGACAAACACTGGGCAATAGCAGAATTTCTTGGGCTATGCTTGCTGTAATGTACCTCAAGAAGTGTGCTTAAACATTAATATGAGAAATGCACCATAAAACAGTGACAGATATGTCACAATTTCAAGGCAATAACAAACAAAAATTTTCCTAGGCACTAGTATTAGATATATTGACTGCTATGAGAGGAATAGCTGTTTCTATAGGCTCACCGAGGGGTCATAGAAAGATGTAACGTCCCCGAGAGCCAGTATAAAAACAGCTATGCCTCAAATATTAAAGCAGTACTGTACATATATCTTTTATAAACTGAATTCACAAAGAATTCGTACCTCATCCTTTTCTTGAGTAAAGATTAAAAAACATCACAGAAAATTTGAGGCACTGTCTGTTAATCTTGACTGGAAAGTTGCCTGAATGTTAGGATCATTCGGGAATCGCACACACACACACACACTGCACTGTATGGTATCCGTGCTCGGACAAAGAAACCGTTTACTTTTTAAGAATATGATCAGGTGATGGTAAAAGCAAATTGAACATGGGTTACATGTATATTATTTCTAAAATAGTTTTTATATAGATTTAGAATAAAATCATGCTTTGTAATTATATATTATGTAGGACAATAGGTTTTTGCTGTGCCTTGTAATTAGTTTTGTTTCCTCCTATAGAAGAATTTCATTATTAGCAATCATATACAAACATATTCTATTTTTGAAGCTCTTTATGCATGTACATTGTATGGAATTATGTCTACATTATGTATTAACATGTGCACTGTATTCCATCGAAATTAGTCTTGTATTCTCTAATTGGATATTTCCTGAAATAATTATGTAAAATGTAATTTTATCATGTAGTACGTGTACATGTATATGGAGTTTTAAATTGCTTCTGTATTGTTCAATGATTAATACAATTTGTCCTCCTGGTTTCAAATCTATTTCTGGTGCAAGTGTTTTTTAACAGTAGTGAAAGTGAGAGTGGGAGTAATGGAAGAAGAGGTAGGCTAAATATAAACATGGTTGAAGGAAGTGAATATAAGAGAGGGAGCAAGGAGCAGAATAGGAGTGGGGATGAACGGGGGAGAAGAAGGAAGGTGAGAAGAGAATGAGGGAGAGTTGCAAGAGCGATGGTAGGAAGAGGGAAGAGGAGACGAGAGAGGGAGCAGGAGGAAGGGGGAAGGGATGGAGGGAAAGTGGCCAGAGGGCTGGGTAGAGGGGAGGAGGAAGGGACTGTGGGGGGAAAAAAAAGAGGACGGAGATGGGGAAAGGAGAAGGAAGAGTTGGGCTAATTATAAACACAGTTAGAGGAAGTGAATATAAGAGAGAGAGCAAGAAGCAGAAGAGAGATAGGGATGAAAGGGAGAGAAGAAAGGGAAAGGAAGGTACCTATATGTGAGAGGAGAATGGGGGAGGGAAAGGATGAGGAAGAGTTGCGAGAGGGAGCAGGGAGAGGGAGCAGGAGGAGGGCTGGGTAGAGGGAAGGGAGAAGGGACAGTGAGGAAAAAAGAGGACTGAGAGGGATGAATAGGAGAGGGGGAAAGGAGAAAGGAGAGTTGGGGTAAATACAAACAAGGTTGAAGGAAGTGAATATAAGAGAGAAAGCAAGAAGCAGAAGAAGAGGAAAGAGGAAGGAGAAGGAAGATGGGAGGAGAAGAGAGAATGAGGGAAAGGAGAGGATGAGCAAGAACGATGGTAGGAAGAGGAGAGGGGGAAGGGGACAGGAGAAGGCAGGGGTGCAGAGGAAGAGGGAGAAGGTGGAGAGGGAGCAGGAGGAAGGGGAAGGGATGGAGGGAAAGTGGCCAAGGAGGGCTGGGTAGAAGGAAGAGAGAATGGGGAGAGAATGAGGGAGGGAAGGGAGAGCGATGGTAGGGAGAGGGAAGAGGAGACAGGAGAAGGCAGGATTGGAGAGGGAGAATGGGGGAAGGGATGAATGGAGGGAAAGTGGCCAGAGGAGGGCTGGGTAGAGGGAAGGGAGAGGGATGAATAGGAGAGGGGGAAAGAAGAAGAGCAAGAAAAGAGAGGAGGAAGAAGGAGGGAGAGCAGTGAGAAAGGTGGATAGCTTCATGGAAAGTGAGCAAGGGGGAAGGAAGGAAAAGGGTGTGAGTTGGTGATAGCAACGTCAATAATGACAACACACATCAAATTTGCGCGCTTCTATGGTTTAATCTGTTGCACAATGGAATAAATGGTATATACACATTTACAGCAATTTTGAGAACATCATTCTGATGGAACAAGTGATAGAAAAACAAATGAAATACAAAAATATCATTTTTACATAATACATGTATGAAAGAAATAGAATTAATGATATATATATACATAAATATGTGGCTTACAAACAAACCATTTACAAGCTCACACATTTTCACAATTATTGAGATGTACATAAATAGGCCAAAATATCCCATCAAGAGAATGAAAAAAAAAAAAAATGATCTTAGCTCCTTCAAATTCATGAAATATTAATTATCATGAGACATTCTTTACATATTGCAAAGTCAACAGGCATTGTACTAAGTATTATTATGACATTACCATTATTTTAATAGAGTAATATTTAATATCACTCTTTTCCTATGGCAATAATAATGAAGAAAAACAAATAGAATAGAAACATATGGAAATCACAAAATGGGGCAAAAACTATGTTTTTGTAGAACGGAGCTTATTTTCTTACTTCCTTTTCTTCTATGACCGTTTGCTCGATTGTCAAATAAATTATCCCTTAAAACTTGCTACAGTATTTACAAACTTTTGCTTCTCTAGTAAGTCTCATAGACTACATTATGTTTTCGTTATTGTCTTTCTGCACATAAAATATACATTTGTATATGCACAATGCAATACTTTGAATTACATGTGCAGTTGTTTTGTATCAATTTATTTTCAATATGAAATAGTACAGGTACATTTAGCTTTCTCTTTTTACTTTCATAACTGACATATAGGAAGGGATATCTTAATGACACAAAGCACACTGTAATCACACTATTTGTCCTACAGGCATACGTCTTGGGTACAAAACTTAGTATAAACATTTTCAAAACTTGCTCTTACATTTTATCATTAGTTACAATCACAAGGCTTTCATTATTTTTGGCGATTATAGATACTACTTGCAAGGATTGTCAGACAACAATGTACACTAGTGCTTGACCCTCCCTGCCAAAATTAAAATTGCTTCATTTTAAGTCGTCCAAATTCTCCTGAAAACCTCAAAGAATGAACAAGATCAAATATATGTTTCCAAGGAGACAAATGAGGAAATATTGAGATTTAGAGCTAAATAGAGAATACGTTTTTCATCCATTTCGAGCCAGAAAAATGCTAAGTTGTACACAAATAAAGGGATCTCATTTTTTTACATCGCATTGCCAATTTAAAGACCTTAATGATTATTTACAACTAATTGCTCTTATTTGAAAGTGGCACAACATACTGCAAATGGACTTACGGGTACAATTTTCTGTGATCATTGTTCTTTCTGCTTAATAGGTATAAGGTGTGATTCTAAGCATTCTGAATTTTACAAAAATGCCAACAAAAAAAATCTCCAAAAGGAGACACTGTAATGCTTTTGGTTTTGAGTTAAAGAAATACACTTTTAAACAGGTGATTCGAAATAAAATTAGGCACCTGGCTACAAATGCAAAAGACAGTTTTTGTTTTTCTAAATTTGGTAGAGCTTGACATTAGTGACAGTGTATGTTGGTCTTTTCGTCCAAGTTAGTTTATTCCATGACACCAACTGCCACGGAACCATTGTCATTCCCTTTCGGTCAGTTTGGTTTGCAAAAACAAAATTAATGTTACATGTATATACATGTACATCTGATATTCCCAATTTATGTTTTTAAACATAGATTTGTTTTTACAATGATCAATGATGTATCTTATTGTTTGAGAAATGCCTACATTAATATATATACTGTCCTGATGATCTCTAAAATATATAGTCATACCAATACATTCATACACACTGTAGAATCTCTATTATGAGATATGTACAATGTATAATCCATGAAAGAGTATACAAAAGAAAATCTTAATATAAACCCAAAATTAAAGTGTATTTCATGAAACAGGCCACACATGTACATTCCATGTAAATCAATATATGTAGCTTGTTTAATAACAAAATGTTAAATAAGCTCTGTAATCATAGATGAAAAAAGGAAAAATTAATTCATCTTTCTTTCATACCATACAAGAACAGGTACATTTCAATATTTTTCTACTGGCATGATAGACTTGTCTATATTGTAGGTATATATATTATGGATGGTAAATATGTGTTTGTTTCCTTCATATTTCAGCAGTTACATGTTTATTTACATCCGACACATACAGTAAAAGGGGGTGTAGCATGGAAAATACTGGTTAACGCCATCTACGACTTCTTTTGGACAACTGCACGTAAATGAATGGACTATAACAGTCAGCACGCGCTTCGCGAAACAGACCGAAGTACTCCTACTGCTTCGGTTTCCCGTATGTTGCACGCGCGTGAATACTGCCTCCCTGTGTCGGTAGTCAGGCCACAGGAAAGACACGTAGTCTCGTCACGCTACAGCCCCTTTAATATCACTTCAAATATGAAACAAAATGATTAATTTCTGACCCATGATTTTGGCCAAAAAATTACAACCTGGGGAGTGTTTTCACAAAGACTAAGATCGACTTTAAGTTAGGCTTATCTATGGCAGGCCGCTCATGCCACTGGTTGCTCTCACCATCTATGTTTCTTGATAATGTGACATTTTAAAGTTACATCTAATAGTATTCAACAAAGGCCCTAAATTCTACCAGTCCAACTTTTCTTCTTGAGTGACGAAAAACACGAAAAACATCACATTTACAAGGGGTATGAATAATTCTGTTATATTGTGCTTATTATACTGTATAGTGTACAAACTGTCTACTGTTTTGACCAAGAAACTACTGCTGCTAGGCAACAAGGTTCCATGTTGCTTGTGATTAAATATAACAATGCATGCATTCTGGGACTATCATCCAAATAGTTTAGTTTGAAACTTATACTGCTGTTCCAACATTCAGGAATAAATAGGAATTTCTTTATCAGAACAAACAATCAGGTCTCGATAGCAGTTTTCAAATATTGCCCAAATAGCACTTTGTTGCTAAATCAACATCTGTAGAGTGCGTTAACACTGTGCTGTGGCAATATTGTTTTGTATGCATCGACATCGTTTATCTGATAGCTACAAGTGGCCTCTTTGAGCATACCTGGAAAAATCAATATTTGTCTTGTCTGATAAGAACTTTTATCACAAGGTACTCACTGAGGATTATCATCAATTCATTACACTCTGTCCCATATATTCACTTTGGTGTTTGGCTAACCTACTGTATGCTTGGGTCACCATCTCCCAGCACCTCAATGCTGCTGTCAGAGCAGTCCGATCGGCCTTCGTCCCCGCCGCCGCGATTCCGGTCCTCGAGACCGATGATCTCTCGCATCATGGAAGGAAGCTCGTCGCAATTTGTAAGTTGTAGGTGGATCCCCTCTGCTTTCTTCAATATGTCCTCAACACTGATCTGCATTGCAAGCTCATTGATGTGCTGTTAAGAGATAACAAGAAAATTAAGAGAAAATGTTCACAATTTTTTTTTTACATTCAAAGGTACTATATCCCATTAGCAGGCCAAAAAAATGAAAAAGTTAAATTCCAACTGCATTTGAGAGATAATACTAATTTAGAACTTCCCTAAAAAAGATGGGGCTTGAAAATGTCTTCAAGTGGGAAAATAACCACTAATAGTTGTCAAATCGACTTTAGGGCTATAGAGCCCAAAAGTAATAGTCTTGATTTTCAGACAATTGTACCGAATGGTCATACGTTTTATGCTGCGCAAAAATTCAATCAGTTTAATCTTGGCCATCACAAGAAGTGGGTTATTGATGTAGACAAATGCTCATGTACCCTTTACTGCTAACTAATGACAACAAAGTTAAGAAAATAAAGTTTCATAAAATAAATTTTGGCATTGCTCCTGATCACATTGAATCCCAATTAGTATGAGATTACATGGGCAGAGTATCATGCAAAGTATATGTCATATAGGAACAACATCAACAACACCAATAAAGGGGGGGGGGGGGGAGGAAATACCATTTTTAAACTAGATTGACCTTCGACCGCGAGCAGTTGAAAATGATGCCTCCGCCATAAAGCAATTTTACAAACTAAAACAGAAGCGAGCTATTTTTGGATACATAATGAGCCCTGTGACCTTTGACATTGACCTCATTACCCCAAAATTTAATCCGTTCATTGGCTCTGCAAGATAAATACATGACCCAAGATTGGCTGGAATCCATCAATGGGTTCTTGAGATAAAGCGATCACGAGCTATTTTTGAATACATAATGAGCCCTGTGACCTTTGACCTTGGATCTCGTGACCCTAAAATTTAATCACTTCATTGGCTCTGCAAGGTACATACATGACCCAAGTTTGGTGGAATCCATCAATGGGTTCTTGAGATAACGCGATCACGAGCTATTTCGCATACATAATGAGCCCTGTGACCTTTGACCTTGGATCTCGTGACCCTAAAATCTAATCAGTTCATTGGCTCTGCAAGATACATACATGACCCAAGTTTGGCGGGAATCCATCAATGGGTTCTTGAGATAACGCGATCACGAGCTATTTTGCATACATAATGAGCCCTGTGACCTTTGACCTTGGATCTGGCGACCCCAAAATCTAATCAGTTCATTGGCTCTGCAAGATACATACATGATCCTAGTTTGGCGGGAATCCATCAGTCGGTTCTTGAGATAACGCGATCACAAGAACGGGACGTACGGACGGACGGACAACCCGAAAACATAATGCCTCCGGCTACTTCGTAACGGAGGCATAAAAAATTTAAGGGGGGGGTATGAAATTCCCTGAATATGGACTGGAGTTACATTCATTAAATTCTGACTTTTCTTGGACTGAAAGAGAGGAAACCGACTTTTAAGTTCTTCCCTGATTTCCAAGATAGCTGGGAATCCTGGCTTATGGTAGCTTAGCCAAATGTAATAGCATGAAAAGATGCATGGCGAACACAAAATACATAAAAGTTAATGATATCTCAATGAACATTAAGCTTACATTAAGCCTCTTCGAGATGTATATGCATTTACCAGCTCCACATCCTAACAATGTCTGATAAATTTATGAAGTTGCTCACCTTGAGAATATCATTGAAGTCATAGTCGTCTCTCTCCATGATGTCCTTCTCACCGTTCAGGATGGCTACACACAGCAGCAGGTGGAAGTTCTTACATGGGAGCTGGGTCCAGATCACCTAAAACGGGAAGGGATGGGGACATTTTGATTAAAGCTCCACTGCACTACTTATAGCTACTTGCGCCCTCTATATAGCAATCGGTGCCTGTTGGTCCCCCATGATCCCCTTTTTCTTATGTTAATTGAGAGATGATTTGACGGGATAACCATCTGTAAGGGACCTTGCAGGGAGGTCTAATCCCCCTTGGCCAAACTAGTGCAGACGGGCTTTAATCCTGATAAACATTGATTTGTACAGTGCTTGATATATAATACCCTCTCTAATCAATTAACAAATATTATTATCATTATTACAAGGGTCATCAGATGGATTCATGCACACAGTGTGCACAACTTCCACTCCCTAATTTTTTTTCTCACTGACTTTGCCATGACTTTGCATTATACTAAAAAATTCATTTTTACATGACTTTCCAGAATTTTTCCATGACTGTGAGAAACCCTGCCAGTTGGCCTTTGAACACATGCGTCTGTGGTCTTACCTCCCACAGCCTAATGATATCATCTATGGTGAACTCTCTCTTGAAGTGGATGAGTAACCAGCGGAAACAGAAATACAGGTTGCTTGACTCCTTCGATTCTAGAGAATGATAGGAGGAAGGAGATACATGTGCATTCTTTATAGGCTTGTTCAGATACATGTATGACGAGGGAAACCGGTGCAATAAAAAAAGAAATTTTTGTTTAAGTGTAAATAAATGGCAACTGATTCAGGAGCAATCCTTTTCATAGGACATGACAATCACATACCTGCCAACATTTGAAAAGAGGAATTAGGAATTTTTAGTATGGTATGCCTTCGAAAATAAGAAATCACACTTGCGGTGGCAGTGTAACAGTCAATACGTAGTAAATCTGTACCAAAAAGCAAATACAAATTCGTTGCTCGATCATGCAGCCATTCAACGTACTCAATAAGTGAACTCTCAAATCGTGGCACATGATAACACAAGCTTAATTTGGCTTTAGCACAACCAAAGAAAAAAAACAAAACCAAAACCCCCCCCCCCCCCCAAAAAAAAAAAAAAAAAAAAAAAAAAAAATCTGGAAAAACAGAATAATCCAGATTAATCGTAAAAGGTTGGCAGGTATGCAATCATGGTATCTTCCACTTGTAGGGTCATATTTCATGGGGTTGGGACATTTTCTGTGACAATCTAGAAGTGACAAACAGTGTCCATATTAACGGTTGCTCAAATTAAGTTTAGCTATACTGGGATGTGTAACAAGAGAGAGTATAGACTCACGTAGGTAGCTGTAGAACTTTGGTTCAATGACCTGAAGCAGTGAGTTGAGCTGGATGAGCTGGCGTTTCATTCCTTCCTGCTCCATGTCAAAGTTCATACACTGAAGACAAGAAGAGATGATTATGATTATGATTGTCATTATCATTTTTAAAGACATCGTTTAACAATGTTAAATCTGAGATGCATGCGTGTTATCAGTGTCTGTGATATGGTGTAATATTGAAGCCCTAAAAAAAAATTGCGCTTCAAAATGATCATGAAGTGCCTCAAAAAAGTAAAAACCTTTGCGTGGCCGGTTTTACCATACTCATTTTCCCCAATGGACTGTAGTGTAATAAAAAACGTTAGGAAAACAAATTTAGAAATTTCTATTTCTAATCATAAATATCTTGATAATCAGACAGGTGATTGGTTTGTAAAAGTCATGGAGTTCCTGACTGACCTAAAGATTTATAATTATCATTGCAGCATGAGCTAAATCCAGGATTTTGTTTCAGAATCTGAGGCAATGTTACTCTGATACCCTTTTCACATCTATTTTTCTTAACCCCGGACTATCCTTAACCCCATACTATCCTTAACCCCATACTATTTTTTTTGCTGTTCACATCTATTTTCTTAACCCCGGACTATGTGCTTAGCCGGGGTTAAGAAATTTCACGCGATTCACACTACGTTCGCCTTAGCCCCGGACTATTCGATAGCTCATGAATATTAATGCTTTTGCTACCGCGCATGCGTAACGTGAACTGCATGCATAGCGCGCGATAAATGCAAATTCACGACCACACGACCACGCTGTCTGTGATTGGCTGTTGCTTAGCCCCGCTTCTCCTTAGCCCGGTTCGGATTCACACTACGCAGCTTAGCACCACAATTGCCCGGCTAACCCCGCAATTGCCCGGCTAACCCTGCTATTTTGCAGGGCCAGATAGTCCCGTACTATTTGTGGGGTTAGCCCACTTTGGCAAAACGTAATGTGAACAGAAAGCCGGCTAAAATTACCCCGGGTAATTGGTGGGGCTAAGGAAGGAATTGGTGGGGCTAAGAGCCCCCTTAGCCCCACCTATTTCCCGGGGTTAAGCAATATTTGGTAGATGTGAAAAGGGTATGAGTATTTGCCTTCACCTCTGCTTTGGAGAGGAAAAGCAAACTGAATCAAGGTAACCCTGGGATCTGTCCTCCCAGCAACCTGATTGGAGATGTGCCAGTGGACCTTGTGTTGGTAATGCTTACTAATGCCCTTACTGCTGTGTATTATTTGTATACTGTAGGCTGATGAAAACACAAGTTAGCTGGATAATTTGCGATCGGGATAGTTAAAACAGCGGGTTATTTGGCAAACTCGAGCTGATGTGGACAGGCCTACTGTGGCATAAACTGTATAAATAATGAAGATAAAGAAGAATGGCTTCTTACCAGCTGTAGATCATCCATGAGGCCACACAAGCACCAGAAGGCCTCTACTTCATCATCCATTATGATGAGCATCGGTGACAGAAGGTCGCTCATACCCTGCACATACCCTAGCAATACAAACACATGTTAACATATTAGATTACCGGTAACTAAAACATTTTTTTTTTTTAATTCATATGCTTATTTATATTCATAATAGCACACAGATATAGAACATAAATACAAACAGTTCATCATATATTCATTAAATACAAAGGTTTATTGAAGTAATCTGCCATAATGAAAAAGGATCACCTGAAGATCGCTTGTAAGAGTCAGGTGTCAAAAGAAGAAAATAAATATATAATATAATGGGTTCCCACAGAAAATTTGAGAAGTGAATTCCATGACCATTTTTTTTTTTGTCCATGACCTGATAAGTACAATTAATTTTTTGGCATGGGTTGAGGCATCCAAGCGGCGTATGAATACCACACCAACTGTCACTTCAAAGGCGGCCATAACCACACATGACCCACACCCATGATCGATTTCCATGACTTTATTTTCTTAACTTTCCATGGCTTTCTAGAAAAATTTGCTTCATGATGACTTTCCAGGTGGGTGTTTCACAAAGACTAAGATCAACTTTAAGTTGGACTTAACTATGGCAGGCCATTCATGCCACTGTTTGCTCTCACCATTTACTGGCATTGGTCTCTCAAGGGACGTACAAATCATGGTCACAAATCTACAGAATCTAAACTTTTTGATAATTCATTAATGAAGGGACAAATATTATCTAAAGTTCATAATGGTGAGAGCAAACAGTGGCATGAACAACCTGCCATACTTAAAGGTAAAGACCAGTTTTGGAAATGAAATGGAAGCTCTTATAACCAATCATGTGAAAGAATATGTTTTGACTAATACATGATCATACAAATTTGCTGAGAAACCACCTACTAATTGATATATTTGGTAAATTATTATATCTATTTGGACCTGATAGATATAACGCACATGTCACGCACGTGTGGGGGTAGTCCCATATACATCTTTCTGTGTACAGTGCTTGTAACTTTATCAAGACTGGGCCAAATTTTGTATCATTTTGATGATTCCAGAACCTTGCAGTACACACCAATACTTATATGCTAGATGATCAACCTTTTCTGATCGATTCCACATCGTTTCTTTCACAATGCAATCGCATGACCATAACTGGTCTTTATCTTTAAAGTCGATCTTAGTCTTTGTGAAACACTCCCCAGGTTTTTTGCCATGACCATAGGAACCATGAAGAGATCATTATCACATGTAGTACTCACCAAGGTCAAAGTTGTACATGCAGTAGGTCATGAGGATTGAGTAGAGTGTATCAAGATGAGGGTTGGACTCTCCTTCAAAGTAGGGATGAATCCGGTCTGTTCGGAGGACATCTTTATCTGTAGGAGCAGTACAAGAATGTACAAAGTTTACACACGCCAGTTGAGGTTGTGAAGCCTTGGTTTAAAGGGAAAGTCAACCTTAAAAGTAAATTATTCTTAAAGAAAGCAGAATAATCAAAGAATTAGATTGGTGAAATTTTGAATGAAATTGGACAAAAAATAAGAAAGTTGTGATTACTATACATATGGGCACTTTAAATTGGCTACATAGGATATGTCAACTTTCCCATTGGTTTTAAAGCACAAAATGACTGTTTTAGAATCTGTGGCAATGTTACTGAGTCACTTTAAATTTTCACTGTTTTTTGTTTTTTTAAACCTGCAAATTGTTCTGTTCCTTACCGATGATGCTTTTCCTGTCCCTGAGCATGGAAAACCTGCTCTCCTGTTCCTCTGTCACTGTCTTCCATTGAGCTTTCATGCAGAAGTACTCATCTCTGAAAAAAGAAACAAATTAAGAAGAAAAATCAAGGTTAAAGAGAATGGTACAGTGTACGTCCTGGTAACAGGGAAAAATAGGATGGACTTACAATTAACAGTCCCCCCCACCGGCAGGCCAATTTTTCAGCTTTGGGGTCGACATCCTCCAAACAGTGCAGTGCAGCGCAGCATAACGTTAGCCTTTGATTAAAATGACCAAAATGGTCCAAACAGTGTAACATACGATTGATTGTTATGATATCAGCGCAAATATTTTACCCCGAATAAATTATTCAAACCTTCCCAACCAAAAGTTCTTATTAAATACTCCTATCTCTTAGGGAATAGAGTTATGCCACAGCAGATTGTTATATCATAGGTTCTAAATGAAACACAACTAAGAAATTAGTCAACTTTTTCACATCACTTGAAATCAAGTAAACACTGTTGTTGCTCGACACCACTGTGAATTCTGAATCCACCATATTGGTGATGAGCATTCTTCCAAACTTTGGGTTCATACAAAGTAACGTCCAACTTGATTGAAGCATGTTTTGTACTCACAATCTGGATTTCGTATATTAAGTGAATGGAATCTGTCATTTCATAAACGTTGGTCAGAAGTTTCACACGCCTCTGTTAAATTCACTTGGATATTGGAGACGTCTACATGACTGTGTATAAAGGAATGCATTGGGTGTATGTGTTTGTCCTCACATACAATGTACATGTAAAGCACACTAAGTGCTGGGAGGCTATAATTGCCGTTAATTTATTAACGCTTTGTTTTTTCAACAGTGGTTGTTCATTAAATCCTTTTTTTTTCTTCCATGAATGGAACTCAACTTCAATTTAAAGCCCCACTGCACTACTTACCGGTATCGCTACTTGCGCCCTCTATATAGCAAACAATGCCTAATTGGTGACCATTGGTCCCCCATGATCCCCTTTTCCTTATGTTAATTGAGAGCTTATTTGATGAGATAACCACCTGTCAGTGACCATGCAGAGAGGTCTAATCCCTCCTGGCCAAACTAGTGCAGTGGGGCTTTAATTGATTACCACTTTGGTACTTACTCTTTCTTTCTCCTCAAGGCTTGTCTCTCTGCTCTGGTAGAGTTCCAGGGATAGTATCTCAGCAGAAACTTCCACACCTCTTTCCGCAGTGATGGTGCCAGGCCCTGAGATTCAATAAAGTCAAGAAATTACAAAATTGGTATAATAATAATAGCTAATTCTTATATAGCGTTTTTCAGGACCGAAAGCCCTTTCTAAGCGCTTTACAGATATGTATATTATTAGCCCCAGCCATCAGATTCAGGCTTACCCGCACACAATGTATGCACATTCTCCACTCACTGGGAGCATTCCAGCAATGCGTCATCCTACCGGTTACCCATTTAACACCTGGTTGGAGAGTGGCAAATGTAGATCAATGTCTTGACAAAGGACATTAGTGCTGTGGGGGGACTTGGACCGCACACCTTGTGATCCACAGTCCGGTGACATATCCACTCGTCCACGCCACCTCTAATATATTTCAACATTGATATATATTGTTTTTTTGTATATTTGTATATTTATTTCTGTGCTTGTTTGGATTTAAAAGTGGAATGCCTTATAATATATCTTGTTTCCATCTTTAGGGAAAATGTTACAATTCCATTGCAATCAATGAAGTATACAAGTCTGAAACAATCTCTTCTCACTGTTCATTGAACTCATTTAATTCAATGCAAAACAATGTATTGATAATTATTTATGGTAATATTTTTCATACTCGTGCCTGATTTCAAATTCTGTCCATTTTTCTCAAGCTGATCGTCACTTAAAAGCAACTGATATGTAATTTTACTGTGACTTTTTGGAAACCCTAAGATTAATTATACATCTTACCTAGATCATAACTGACTAATTTGTTTATTTTGTCACTTAGAAATAATATCAATATTGCAAGCTCATTTCTTCGTCTGTTCAGTACATATTAGACTTCAGATTACAATTGTATTCATTTCATTTTGAAAGTTAGAAATTATTGTTAATCATTTTATACCATTATGTAACTTTCCTTCCCAATAATAATCATATCAAATGTTTCTAATGTAAGCACCAGGTTATTGATTTGAAAGTTTTTATATCTATGTGATGAACGTAAAGCCATTGTAATGACATAATAATGTAATGAAAGTAATCAAGGATATAATAGTAATTGCTCCAACTATTGTTATCCTGATATATATATATATATATACATATTTATTTATTTTCTCATATTGTGAATTTTTATTCTGTTCTTTCTTTACTCTTAATTTTCTAGGATGCAGACTGTGGGGGTTGACATGCTTTCGAGTAATAGCAATTTAAATTGCTTTTGTCACCCCTGACCAGCAGATTGTATCCTTCTCTCTATCTCCTCTCCACTTTCCTAAAGCTGTTTGAATGTATTATGAAATGTCTATGTATTATCTGATTGTTATACTCACTGTATGTTTTTCTGATTGGTCAAATAAATAATAATAATAATAATAATAATAATAACAAGTCGATGCAGGTGTACTATATTCACACACAGACATTATGTGAATCAGCGTTATTGTTGCCGTAGTAAGATAAATATAAATGCAAATAGAACGCCATATTCCTTACCCCTCTGAATATTCTGAGTAGCACTTCGTCGACTTTGTTTATCCTGCCTTCTTTGTCCTGAAATCGCATCCACTCTGCCTCTGTCATTGGATTTAGTCGTTCAACATTGGGTCTCTCTCCAAGTCGGATCTGCATGGAAAGAGAAACAGTATTTTAACAACTATAATGGATCTATTTCTCCCTTTTTGAGTTATTTTTCAAAAGTGACCATTAAACAAATCAACTCCATTGTGTATATTCTTCAATGGATGCAGAATTAAAATTTACAAAAGTAAACAATAGCTACAAATTATCATAGTTCAAGGAAGTGTATGGAGTCAGATTTACTTAATATGCTCGGGGGACACAGCAATCAAGGGTCAAAGACAATATTGGACAGGTTTTTAATTTTATCAAAATTGTAATGATAAAAGAAAGATAACATAATTAACATATTACAAAACAATTGCAATGCAAGGGAAATATTTCATGATAGAGAAACTAAATGGCATAACTTGTAAGACTGAAGTCAAAGACAATATTTGATAGGTCTACATGTTATTACAGAACTAGATGGAATTCGACTGCGCGCAGTCAAAAATCATGCCTCCGTCATAGAGCAATTTTACAAACTGAAACGGAAGAAATTTTTCAAATTCAAGTTCAATTGTAATCCATTAACAGGTTCTCAGAATATCGTGATTATAAGCAATTTCTCATATACATATATGACCCTTTGATCTTTGACCTCATGACCCTAAAATCTACTCAGTTCATTGGTTCTGCAAGATGTCCTGAGTTAAATAGTAATCCATCTGTCAGTTCTAATGAGAATGCGTTCACAAGCCATTTTTGCATAAATAATGAGCCCATGACCTTTGATCTTATGAACCAAGAATCTACTCAGTTCATTGGCTCTGCAAGATACATAAATGATCTAAGTTTGGCAGGAAGCCATCAATCTGTTCTAATGATAATACGATCACAAGCTATTTTTGCATATATAATGTGCGCTGTGACCTTTGACCTCGTGACCCCAAAATCTTATCAGTTCATCGGCTCTGCAAGTAACATACATGACCTAAGTTTGGCAGGAATCCATCAATCGGTTCTTGAGATAACGCGATCACGAGCTGTTTTTGCATACATTATGAGCCGTGACCTGTGACCTTTGACCTCGTGACCCCAAAATCTTATCAGTTCATCGGCTCTGCAAGTAACATACATGACCTAAGTTTGGCAGGAATCCATCAATCGGTTCTTGAGATAATGCGATCAGGAGCTGTTTTTGCATACATTATGAGCCCTGTGACCTTTGACCTTTGACCTCGTGACCCCAAAATCTAATCAGTTCATTGGCTCTGCAAGATACATATGCAAGATACATACATGACCAAAGTTTGGCAGGAATCCATCAATCGGTTCTTCAGATAACGCGATCACAAGCTGTTTTTGCATACATAATGAGCCCTGTGACCTTTGACCTCGTGACCCCAAAATCTAATCAGTTCATCGGCTCTGCAAGATACATACATGACCAAAATTTGGCAGGAATCCATTAATCGGTTCTTCAGATAACGCGATCACGAGAACGGGACGTACGTACGTACAGACGTACGGACGGACAACCCGAAAACATAATGCCTCCGGCTACTTCGTAACGGAGGCATAAAAATTTCAACATTATAAGTAAAACAGTAAATATTCTACATGGATGTATTACAAAACTAATCGAATACAACATCAATACATCATCAAGAACTAATGACTACAGGCAATTTAATACAAATTTTAGCCCCTTTCTTAAATATCGTTGAGAGCTGTAAAAACCCAGATGATCATTACTAGAGGATTATGTTATATTTTGATCTTAATTAAGGGTATCTTCTTTTATCTTATTTGTTTACAGACCGTGATCATTGTTGAAATCTATACTGATCGACTGACACAAATAGCCAGATCTTATTTATAATCACGGTACCAAATCCATGACATCAGATCCCGGGGCTGGGATAGGCACATCAATATAAGTATAATTTACATACATTAAATATGACCGATGCACTTTTCATTACCTGTGACTGTGAGACAAGACCATATCCCTGCTCGGCCTGCAGATTCACACTAAGTCCTTCCAGGTCAGGCATGAGGTCAGCGTATTCATCGGAAGGTCGATGGGTGTTGATTGGCAACAGGATTGCATCCTTGAAGAAGTTGGTTACCTTGGAGAACCCTCCCATCGTCGCCGAAACAGGGTCCTTCATAAATTGCTGTGATGATTCAATTCAATTCCAAAGTAGTATTTACCGGTACATACATGTACAGTTCATGATAGCTAAGTTTAACATTGTCTTGAATACATATTTCACATTATTGCAGCTTGTACAGGACTTATATTCATAAAAGATAATCCAGTGTGATCCTAAATTCTTAAATGGTCTACAATGAACAGATTACAATTTTGTCACAAAACAAAGGTCAAACTTGAAGTTGCGGTATAGGCAATATTTATTATTATTTCAGTCAGCTACAGCGGGGGTAATAATATAGGTTGTATTAAGTGTAGTAGACTAAATTCATGTAGTAACTGCGCAATATCAAAGGACCTATTATTACTATTATTTAAGTGGTTGAGCACTTCAAGTTCATGTATGATTGGGTTCTAAAGGCATTCTTACTGAGACTACATGCGATGATGTCTCCCTTAGGATTTGAAGCTCGTTGAAGGAGCGAGATAGAGCATCCGTGTCATTGGGAGTGACGATATACAGTCTAGAGTCATTCGGTGACCTGAAAAGACATTGAAGGAGAGAAAAAACATCCTTAATGATAATAGGACATGTCGAGGGGAAAGATTGGTGAGATAGAAAAGTTAAATATAATTTGGCAGAAGGTTAGACCTTCATACAACCTTTTTGTCAAATAAAAAAGTTTATTAACTGTCAAAAATAAGGGGGGGGGGGGAAGGGGATAATAGAGAGATGAAACTATCTGGGTAGCCTCTCATTAACTTTTTTTTCTTCAATTTTCAAGACTAATGAAAAAAGAAACGCATGTTGACGTACCAATGATTTATATTTAACAGTAGATTTAATTTGTACAAGTTAAAATTGAGTGAGCAGGGTTAACGAGGTATTTTCAAAATGCTTTACATATCAGCCTACAATTCAAATGAGGATATGATACCTCTCTTGATATTATTTTTTTCAAGAATTTTTACATACATTCATGAATATGAAATCATCTTTGACATGAAAAAAAATACAGTTTTAAGTCAAATGTGGCATACAAGTCTTGTAAATGATGCTTATAAGTATCGGCTTGCATGGTGATGTAGATATACAGTAGGCTCACGGTTGCACCATGTGAGAGAGGGGGATGATTGGGTAATCCTGACGATGAAGAGTCAACCTGTTCGAAGCGTTGAGCCCCTCCTACTACCCATCTTCTTCAACCTGAGATATAGTTCTCCTTAGAACTATAAGCTCAAGAAAGATTACTGACAGTCCTTTTTAGGACTACACACACTCAAGAAAGAAAGATTACCAACAGTCCTTTTTAGGACTCCCCAATCCTTTCCCTCTCTCACATGGTGCAACCGTAAGCCTACTGTATAAGGTTCTCACTTCCAGCCCTAAATCGCAAAATACTTACTTTGTGAGCATGACATATTTCTCAATGACATGGACAAAGGCAGCGCTGCCCCCGTCGTGGAAGTGAAGCGGTGGCATCGCTACGTTATCTTTCAAGATGAAGACAAGGTAGGACCAGCCGAGGTTCTGCTTGGAGCGTCGGATCGTCTTCACGTCCGACAGAGAGTAACTCATGGCGTACTTGTTCCTTCGCGGGGCCGCGGCTCCAGCAGTAGGAGGGTTGACAACAACGTTGTCATCTGTGTGAAGTGATTGATGTCACAGGTAATGAGATTAATTCAAAACTGAAATTTAAGCTATTGAACATGTTGAATAATTATATTCAGTTAGACAGTACCACCTGTGTGTTTAGAAATGCCTGTATAAAGCGCCATATTAATGTTAATATTACCATTATTATTATTAAAGACATACATGTACCAAACTGCTTTTACAACTAGCCACTACCCCAGTCTCTCCCAGTAGTTATTCAGTCTCATCAGTGGCTTTGTTAGTTTGTTTTGGCACTATAGGCGCTCTACAAATTTTCTTACATTGGATTAGAAGTGGACTTTCTATTTTCATGTAGCTGAAGATATGAAATTACTGTATATCTTACATGTATGTTTATACATTTTGTTCAAAGTTCTCTATCAATATTCACTATCACAACTTCCCATTTTTAAGGGCTACACAACTACATGCAAACATATATGTTGACAAAATGCAATATCCAAATGGGGAATTAAAAACTCTCTATTTTTCTTTGGATTTATAAAAGATATTTCTCTTCCAGTGGACAATAGTTTCCTTTGATTCTATGAAGATATAATGTTCATGATTACTCAAACGGAAGATCATCTTTATCTCCTCTTACATATATTGGCCCTGTTTTCCTGGGGTCCTTCTTATAAACAGGCGTGATGGAACTCGACGTGGTAGCAATCCCAAATTTGCACTTAGATATTTGCTATAACTCTACAACTGATTGGAGAACTCGATATCAATAATAGAGAATATCTATGAGACAGGATCCTGGTCTAACTAACCTGATGATTGATGGTCCTTCTGGTAGGTGACCGTGTTGACCATGGTCCAGTCCTGGTCCTGCTGTGGTAGACTAAAACCACCCTCACGGATTGGGACCCATTCCACATACTCCCCGCGCTTCTGTAAGAGCATATGGGTGCCATCCTGGCATACATTAGAATACGTTTGTACTGGATGATCATTAGATAAACATGTCATGGCCATGCATTTTAATTTTGTTATTACAAAGTTCTTTCATTCAATTAGACTTAAAGATAAAGTTAAGATCTGGTCATGGAAATGTATTGTGAAAGACAAGGTGTGGAATCAATCTAAACAAAGTTAATCATGTAGCATATAAGTTTAGGTGTGTATTGCAAGGTTCTGGAATCATCAAAATGATCAGAAATTTGGCACAGTCTTGGTAAAAGAAACAAGCACTATTCACAGAGAGACGTATATGGGACTACACAAACATGAGGCATAAAAATGTGTTCATAATTTTTAAGCTGAACTATTTTCTCACCTTTTTCACAAGTTGTACTCTTCCTTCAAGTAAAACATCATCTTCTGATTCCCCATGAGTGGTGTGAATGAATACCCCACTCTGTTGAAAGACAACCTATGATTGAAGAGTGAGAGAAGCTGTGTCATTCAAAGCAAAATATTACAAGTATGAAGGGGTGACCAAAGTTCGCGGACATTTTAGAACACATTACAAAATGTGATATTCGATCTATGATTTCTCACATTCTACACAACTTTATTTATTTCAATTATTACCGAATGGACGGCAAAGTTTTTTACAACAGATTGGTTCAACTATAAAAATTTACCGTCGAAGGATTTTGGAGATATCGCGATCTAAAAATTCGATGTCTGATCGTGCGTGCGCGCTGCATCTAAAAAAGTCATAAAAACAATGAGACCTAACTTCACGCACGGTGGTTTACAGTTGATTTATCAAAAAATGTGATCCATCAAAAATAAGGTAATATCATAATTTGCAAGGCAAGATATCGTACAATCAGTTAGTACCACTCTTTACTTACAATTTTGAGGATTTCTGATCTCAAAATGAAGATTTCCAGACCCTTATCGGTAAGTTGATAATTTTTCGGAACGGACGCAAATAACTGCAAAATTTGCCAATCTTTTGTCAATATTTTCAATTTCGCACCCAATTCTAAAGAAAATTTCGTTTCTGGGTAATTTTATGACCCTCTTTCCATTGGTGATATCAGATTTTCGAAATCTTACCGATTTTTTGAGAAAGCGAACTTTGGTCACGCGCGAACTTTGGTCACACCGCCATACAGTTAAACCTGTCTACCAAGGTCACTCAGGCCCCAGAGCCTATATCAATTCAATACTTATAAAGTACAAAATTTAAGCTTTTTACTGAGTATTTGGCTTACATGTAGATAAAAATGCTTAGCCACTTTTGGTATTCAATTCAAACTTTTGGCTTAGTATTTTACCCTAAATTTAAGACAGCTCCCTACCAAAATTAAGCCAATTATTTGGAGGCCTTGATTGGCAGGCATATGGTTTTCTTACACAGTATGATAACCTGCGCACAATTATATTAACGCACATTTTTGGAATCGCGTTAATTGCGCATTACTTTTGATTGACCGTGTGATGTCACAAAGCTAAATAAAAGCCTAAAATGTGATATGAATCGAGATATGTAAACTTCTTAGCTTAGCCATTTACTTAGTAAATTTCTTACTTATTTTAAGTATTGAATTGAATACCGGCCCAGGGCAGTAGTAGGGGGAGGGAGAATTTCTCCTGCACATACAAATGGGACAGAAATAAAGATTATTGTTGAAACATAAGTATCCTAACCAATGATGCTGTAAATCACTAAATGAGCATCATAAATCAGTTCTAAAATTTCCAACTGATGAACAGCTCAAAATCATGTAGAAAAACCATGGTAACCGCTGCTTATTTTGCTCTGTCGCATCCTGTTTCGCTAGCAATAAGTAGCATTTGCGAATCATGTAGTTTCATGTATTGCAATCTGTTGGAGCCTTTCGTAATGGACTGCAGAGGGTTGGTGCCAGTGGCTATACATGAGCTTGTTAATATTTGTCAACAAACTGTATTATAATGTAAATAGCACTCAAATGGACATGAATTAGGGTAACACACACACATACATTACTAGTTTGCAAGAATCTTCAGTCAATTCAAGGAGGCAGATCACTTAATCAGAAGAAGATTAACTGCCAAAAACTTTGTCGCTACTAGAGGATTATGTTATAGTTTGATGTTAATTAAGGGTATCTTCTTTTATCTTTCTTGTTTACAGACCGTGATCATTGTTGAAGTCTACTGATATCGACTGACACAAATAGCCAGATCTTATTTATGATCACGGTCTGTCCTTCGAATACTTCTACAAGCTCCAATGATGTTATTCAGTCTTAAATCTCTGAGAACAGCAGCGACTTAACGTTTGAAAGTACCACAACTCCAGCAGCACAAGTCTCCTTCCTTTGGTGATGGACGGTGACTTTGGCACTGTAAAGTGTTGTACACTAATTATGATTTATAATAAGAGTCTTCTTGAGGCTGGATTTTGTAGAACTCAAATATGAACAACTTGTTGTATTTATTAGATGTATGTGAAGCCGCATTACAATCTGCGGTAGCAATAATCATGGGCATATGATATAGGTCATTTGTTGAACATACATGTAGATATAAAATGATATCATATCACAATCCCTCTTCTCAATGAAAACTTAATTTCATATTTAGATCCATACTGTTTAAAATATCTTTTTAAAATTCTTTGCTTAAGAAATTAAACTTGTGCTAATATGAACTTACAATTTCGTCCCTTTGTTTGTTTGTTTTTTTTTCTTTTTTTTTTCCAAAAAAACAATTTAAAAATTCTATCACATTTGTTTTTCATTTGAATGCGAATTGTTTGCTTATTTATCTAAAATGTTTTGATCAGACTTCAGTTATCATCTTGCTTTATAATGCAATAAACTTAATTAATATACAAAACATGACATATTCAATATGTCTCTTTAAATCTAACTACTCAAAACCTTGTAAACATTGTTAAAGAAAGCAAAAGACAACAATTATTTGAATTATCTCCAACCATATCAATATTTTACATATCGTATCTCTCTGGTTTCTTAATAGTACGACCTGATCTGGTGGTGTATGGTTGGTGGTTATTCGATGGTGTGTCTGGTTTGCTTTGTGTTTGTTCTGTTTGTGCATTCTGCTGGTCGTGTACATCATTATGTCTATCACTAGCATGTTGACGGTTTTGTTCCATGCTGTCCCTCTCTTGGGTTGGTTTGATGTGCCTACGATTTCGTCGCAGAGTGTAACCTGATGATGTCTCTACTTCATATGACCTTGGTTCTGGTCTCCTGTTTGTGATCTTTCCTCTGTCCCATCTACCAGTCTCTTGATTTTGGATTCTGACTTCTTGTCCTTTGTGTAGTGGGGGAAGGTTGGTAGCGTGCTTGTCGTCAAAGTATTTCTTCTGGTCATCCTGCCTGGTCTGCAGTCTCTGGTAGATGTCATCCTTTTGGGGTGACTGGTTCCGAATTCTGGTCGGTATGTTGGTTTGGATCTTCCTCCCCAGTAACAGCTCTGCTGGAGATGGTAGATGGCTGTCCAATGGAGTGGCTCTCAGGCATTGCAATGCCTTGTTGACGCCTATGTTATCTCTCTTAGCTTTCTTCATGGTGTTCTTGACAGTTTGTACTTGCCTCTCTATAAATCCATTGGATTGTGGATATCTCGGGCTTGAGGTTACATGTTGGAAATTCCAGTCTCTGGCAAACTCTACGAATATGGCACTATTGTATTGAGGTCCATTGTCGCTCATTAGTCTCTCGGGGGTTCCTTGTTCAGAGAAGATTTCCTTAAGCAGTCTGATGACAGCACTACTTGTTGCTTGCTGTGGTAACTGCTTTACAATTGGATACTTTGAGTATACGTCAACAACAAGAAGGTACTCTCTTCCATCAAGTGTGAAGAGGTCAGTTGTGACAAATTGCCAAGGTCTGACAGGAATTTCATGTGGCTGCAGAGTCTCTGATGGCAGGGAGTTCCCATATTCTTGACATACAGAACATTTCCGTACCATCATCTCGATCTCCTGATTTATGCCATTCCAGAAGATACAGCTCTTTGCTCTCAGTTGGCATTTGATGATGCCTTGGTGTCCCTCATGTAGCTTGTTCAGGTATTCCTTTGTCAGGCATTTGGGGATGACAATTCTTGAACCTTTCAGGATAATCCCGTCTTCAATGGACATCTCGTCCCTGTATGGCCAGTATTTGATCAGGCTTTTGTCAAGTTTACGCCTTTCTTCTGGCCATCCCTCTAGGATTACATCTCTCAGGATGCAAAGTTCACAGTCCTCTGATGTTGCGGTGCGGATCTCCAGTAGCTTCTTGTCTGAGAACATTACAAAGTCAACTTTCATGTGCATTTCAGGAGACTCAGGAGGCAGAGGATTGAGTCTTGACATGGCATCAGACAGAAGCATCTCCTTTCCAGGTTTATATTTCACTGTCATGTCATACCCTTGGAGTCTGAGCAGTAGTCTTTGTAGTCTTGGGGGTGCAGCTCCAAGGTTCTTGAGAGTGATCATCTCTAGTGGTTTGTGATCTGAGAGGATAGTGAAACTTCTGCCGAAGACGAACGTGTGAAACTTTTCACATGCGTAGACAACTGCTAGCATCTCTCTCTCAATGTTAGCGTATCGCTGCTCGGTGTCTGTGAGGGACTTTGAGGCAAACGCTATTGGTCTCCCTTCCTGTGTGAGGGCTGCTCCAACGCCTTTCATCGATGCATCTACTTCTAGGACAACAGGTTTCTTTGGATCAAAGTAAGCAAGTGTGGTCTCCTTGCAGATCATATCTTTGATGGTCTCAAACACCTTCTGATGTGATTCAGTCCAGCTATATATCACATCTTTCTTCACAAGTTCCCGAAGTGGTGCAGTCAGTGAGGCAAGTCTTGGAATGAATGGTGACATGTAGGTCACAATGCCTAGGAACTCTCGGAGTTCTGTCACGTTCTGTGGTGCGTTCAGGGCTGATATGGCTGCTGTCTTCTGTGGGTCTGGTTGCACTCCATCTTTGCTGAAGACAAGGCCATAGAATCTCACTCGGTCTTGCTTGATGTGGCATTTGTTCCAGTTCAGGACGAGTCCATGCTCCTTTGCGACGCGCATCAGATTGTGTAAGTTGGCGTCATGTTCCACTGCCGTCTTTCCTACGACTGCTATGTCATCGGCCATTCCTATGACTCCAGGACATTTCTCTAGTATTTGATTCATTCGTTGCTGGAACACGTCCTGAGAAACACACAAGCCAAAAGGTAGTCTTTTGAAACGGTAACGACCAAAGGGACTATTGAAGGTCGTCAAATGGCTTGATTCTTCATCTAGCTGTATAGCCCAATATCCATGTCTGGCATCCAGGGTACTGAACACTGTTGCTCCTTCAAACTGGTGTCGGACTTCTTCAATGGTTGGCATCGGCATATGGCTTCTCTTGATTGCCTTATTTAAGTCTTTTGGGTCAAGGCAAATTCTCCATCTTCCATTGGGCTTCTGGGTGTATGCCAAGCTTGATACCCAGTCTGTTGGCTTAGTGACACTTTCTATCACTTCAAGACTCTCCATCTCATCAAGTTCTTTCTTGATGTCATCCTTTATGCCTATCGGGCATCGTCGAACTGCATGTATCACAGGAGCCGCATCTTTGTCGATCACGATGTGGTATTTCCCATCAAATTTTCCGATTCCATCAAATCTATCGGGATACAAAGTCTTCAAATGCTCTCTATCTTTGATGGGACTATCATGGCTCTCCATCAGACTGCAATTCAAGACTACTAATCCTAGATCCAGGCACAACTCAAGTCCAAGGATGGCCGGTCTTTGAGTCTTCACCACAAAGAATTCTCCATTTGCTTGTCTGTCCTGGTGGTTACAGCTCAGCGTATGTAGGCCTACTTGTGGAATAACACTCTTTTCACCATAGCCTGTTATCGTTATCGGTGACTTTCTTAGCTTTCCTGTGATAGGTTCCCCATTAGAGTCCACGCGATCAGGGTACATCTTCTGATAAATGCGTAATGGAAGAATGTTCCCTTCAGATCCTGTGTCAACTTTGGCTTTTAGAGTCGCTGGTCCTCTTCCGATCTCAACTCCGATCACAGCGAAGGCTTCGTTCTTTCTGATCTGGTCTACACAGATGGTCTCAAACCGCATGTCGTCAGTTTCTTCTGTTTCTTCCTCTTCTTTCATCTCATGGAGTCTCTTTGATCTCTGTGCTTGCGACCTTTTCGGATATGTCTTTGTAGCTTCTTGTTTCCTTTGCCACTGCTGTTTAGATTCTTGTTCCTGTTTCTTCAGTCGGCAGCATTTCTCCCAGTGATTCATTTTATCACAGTTTCTGCATTTGGTGCCATAAGCAGGGCACTTCCTCGGTGGATGGTTCAGTCCACAGAATGAGCACTGTTTCTTCCTTTGGATATGTTGCTTCGTCATATCAACGTTGACGGCTTGACCATGAAGGAGTCTCATATCCGCCTCAGTTGCCTCCTGGGTTCTGGCGATGTCCAAAGCTGTATTTAATGTCAGTTTCTCATCCTTGGCTAACAATGTTTGCTGTACCTTCTTGCTTGAGGTGCCAATGACGATCTGTTCTATGAGGCGACCTTCAAGTTCAATGTCCGCAAACTTGCATTTTTGTGCTTGTATTTTGCATCTGGCCATGAAGTCGTCTATGGCTTCGGCTGGTTCCTGTGCCAATTTCTGCAGCTGAAATCTTGCCAGACGGAAATTGGTCTTTGGTTCGAAATGTTTTATGAAAGCTTCGAAGACCTCAGCTGGGGTCTTGAAGTCCTTTCCCCAGGATTTGTGAATCCTGATACCCTCTTGACCCAGCCACAACAGGATGTATGTACATTTCTCTTGGTCAGACTTCTTGTTAAGCGGCCCTGAAAATATCAACTCACAATAGTATTGAAAATTTCTAAATTCAGTCGGCAAATCTTTGGATGCCCAATCCATGCAGGGAGGGTTGATTCCTGTCATCTCTCCCATGTTGTTTGTTTTTGTGTGTGACTTTGTAACAGCCAATAAAATCTAATATAGCCTAGAAGTCTAAGTCACATAAAGAAACTACTACTAGTCATATTCAGCCTTATACATAAAGGAGTAAGGTCATATAGTGTGCCTTATCCTAATATACAAATAGGAGTAGGGTTACATTAAAATTCACACCCTATCCTGTGTTATCAATACTGCAATGAGACAAAATATCTATGGCATTCGTTATACTGCATCGCAACAAACATCATCAATAATACAATTCCAAAGCAATTTATTCCTTTGCCAGTCCAACTCTTCCATGTCTCTATTAAATATAAGCCGGTCCTTCAATACTATCCATGGATTTACTCACATTAAATGATCCTGGTCAGGTTGGTGATTCAACTATTCTATTCAAACATGTGCAAATAATGAATTCAGCAAAGCGTCCATTATTTCAAAATGTTGAATCTTGATTAAAATCTAGTGTCTCTCAGTTCAAGTTCATATCTTATTCCACGGAGATCTGTATTCCCAGGTTTCACTCTCATAGGTCTAGGCCTATAGTATGTAGGTGTCGATCGAGGTGTCCAGCTCCAGCGACGTCGTCGATCCTCCCGATGAGCTCCGAGTCCGTGTGGCTCAGTTCCAAACCAAAATGCAGGGCTGGGAGTATAGCGCCCTAGCTGTACTGTACTGTTCCCGGTCCCGGTCGAGCCTCTAGGCTCTGCTCCTGACGAGCCTCTAGGCTCTGCTCCTGACGAGCCTCTAGGCTCTGCTCCTGGCGAGCCTCTAGGCTCTGGTTCTGCCTCCGCATCAAGCTGGTCCTGAATGTAGGGCAAATAATCACTTCTCGATCAGTGCTGTGCTATCGGACGGTAGGCTCACTCGGTCTCACTCTCAGTTCGTATGGGGTTTAAAATCTCATATTTGCGACTCATAATCAGTGTCGTTTTCTGCAGTACTCAAACGTCCCTCAAATATATCGCTGACCTGTTCAGAGCTTCACCTTTCTCAGTTCAAAATTTATCTCAGCGGAATATCAGTCCAAAATCGTTGTAGAGGAAAACTAACTTGCTCAAATCGCGAAGTTTCCGTCATTCACAATCACAATGTAAACAATCGACTCACACTAGACTGTTCCGTTCAAAATTCCTCCGCGGTTAGCGCGCGTAATTTTTCGTACGTGCTAGTCAGTTCCATACCGCATATACACACGAGCCAAATTAGCACAGGGGGTCGATGCGCGTAAACGAAATCCCAACCTAGGCCTGGCCGGTAAACGGTGCTTAAATTGTCCATAAAATCCAAATCCGGGCTCCACCTGCACTCAAAATGGTCTAGCAAAGTCCTGGCACCGCTGCCACCATGTAAAGTGTTGTACACTAATTATGATTTATAATAAGAGTCTTCTTGAGGCTGGATTTTGTAGAACTCAAATATGAACAACTTGTTGTATTTATTAGATGTATGTGAAGCCGCATTACAATCTGCGGTAGCAATAATCATGGGCATATGATATAGGTCATTTGTTGAACATACATGTAGATATAAAATGATATCATATCACAGGCACAACTCGTCCGAGGACTCGACAGCCCGTCCTGCGGCCAGACGTAGGGGCCCTGCCACGTCCTACTGAACAGCCTGGGGATCCTGCTTCAGGCCCTGACACAGCCCTACCCATGGTGCCACCACTGACATGCGCCGACACCCCTGCCACCAGCCAGCCGGGACCTGTCATGCCCGCTGCCCAGGCAGCTCCTACGACCCCTGCCGCTTCTGGGACGTCCAATGGCCCACCCCGTCGTTCTCTTCGCCCATCTCTGGTTGTTCCTGTCCCTTCTGTCGACACGCAGTTGCCGTCGCTCACACCCGTCGGCCGGGCCAGTGCTCCTCCTAGGCGATCTACTCGTTGCCCAGCCAAACCTGTCTGGCACTCAGACTATGTCATGTGACATTGACACTCGAACAGTTTGCCTTATGTCTTTAATTCTTTAACTGCTATTTGGCTATTGCATTTCTTGTTTTGCTAGTTTTTGATGACATTCCGTCATGCGTTAGGTTTCGTTTTAGCCTGGTCCGCGTTCACGTTTCTTGTTCTTACATTTTACTTGTCGTTGATCATTGGGTCGTATTTTAAGTCTTTGTCGAACCGTTAGCCTTTCGTTTCTTTTTGCACCAAAGACTTGGGGGAGATAGAGGATTATGTTATAGTTTGATGTTAATTAAGGGTATCTTCTTTTATCTTTCTTGTTTACAGACCGTGATCATTGTTGAAGTCTACTGATATCGACTGACACAAATAGCCAGATCTTATTTAGCTACGGAGTATTTCCCGCCCGCAAAAAATCATAGGTTTTAACCGTTTGATCTTTTCATTTTACAGTTCTCGCTGTGACCAAGAAATACAATGAAATAGGGTCTAGGCCCTACATGTATAAAGTGGTTCTTCGTCAGGAGGACTGACAATGATAGATTTCAAATATATTTTTTCATCAGTGCAGTAGCCAGTAGCTGAGTGAGCTAGTTGAACCGTTTTGTTTGTATTTAACTGATATTTAGATGTCATATATAGTTATAGTTTATTGAGTCTTGTCACTGATAAAGGCAAAGCATCGATTTTTAGTGAATACTAGGGTGTTTTCTACTGTGGTGTATGACAGTTCAGGAACACAACGCAACACGAAAGCCAACATACAGGGAAACACACGTATGGGACTGTTCTGGAAAGTATCGTAATTATTACAAGAGTATTTTCATACTTTACCTCCAATACGAAATTTCTCCGTAAGCGACGCATGCTTGAGATTTGATAATTGACGTTGTTATGATAATCATAAACACTCACTTACCTCTGACAGTACTTCAGAATTGGCCATCATCAGGTGACTTTAGAGACTCCAGCTGTAGATGACGTAGCGGTAGATTTGAGATTATGACGTCATATCCCAAAACATAAATGCACGAGTTTTCCAATCATCAGTCGCTGCGCCGATGTGAATCATAAACACCAATCGGCAAAGATTGTTGGTTCTGCATGACCCCGTTCTGACGTTTCTTCCTCCTTCTTCTTCTTCTTCTTCTTCTTCTTCTTCTTCTTCTTCTTCTTCTTCTTCTTCTTCTTCTTCTTCTTCTTCTTCTTCTTCTTCTTCTTCTTCTTCTTCTTCTTCTTCTTCTTCTTCTTCTTCTTCTTCTTCTTCTTCTTCTTCTTCTTCTTCTTCTTCTTCTTCTTCTTCTTCTTCTTCTTCTTCTTCTTCTTCTTCTTCTTCTTCTTCTTCTTCTTCTTCTTCTTCTTCTTCTTCTTCTTCTTCTTCTTCTTCTTCTTCTTCTTCTTCTTCTTCTTCTTCTTCTTCTTCTTCTTCTTCTTCTTCTTCTTCTTCTTCTTCTTCTTCTTCTTCTTCTTCTTCTTCTTCTTCTTCTTCTTCTTCTTCTTCTTCTTCTTCTTCTTCTTCTTCTTCTTCTTCTTCTTCTTCTTCTTCTTCTTCTTCTTCTTCTTCTTCTTCTTCTTCTTCTTCTTCTTCTTCTTCTTCTTCTTCTTCTTCTTCTTCTTCTTCTACGTCATCCTCCTCTTCTTCTTCTGCTCGTTCGTCTTCTTCTTCTTCTTTGTCTATTTTTTGTCAAAAAGACACTGATTCTAGTGTTCTCTCCCTCTCCTCACCCTTCCTTCTTTCTCGCTCTCTCTCTACCCCCCCCCCCCCCCCCCCCCCCCTCCCCTGCTGCATATTGTTCCGCTCTGTTTCGGTTGGACTCACCAATACGTATCGTCAACATTACACACAAGATAAAAACATATAGCAGAACCCTCGTGATGATTACTTAAGCATTTCACAATAATAAAAATGAATCATCCCATATTTGTATTATTATCTAATATCTAATGACCGTACGATCTCGAGCGATAAGCAATTCTAGCATGTCGAGTCAAAATAATGAATAGAGTCATACTTGCACGCACTGTACGGAGAACTTTGCCCCTGAAGTAAAAATAGAATATTATACATGAAAGATAGCCGAGTAAGCTAGGAAAGATAGAAAAGGTGAAACTTGAGAAATGAAGAAAGAAAGGAAGAATGGATATGGTAGAGCAGGGCCCCGTCTTCAAAGAGTTGATATCAATCGCAATTTATTTGCAATTGATATCAATCGCAAGTATGTACATAATAGATAGGAGACTGCAAACTTGCGATTGATTGGAGGACTTACGATCGATTCGGATCAATCGCAACTCTTTGTAAGACGGGGCCCAGGGATATCGTTACTTTAAGTCCACGTATATAGAGGCTGAACTATGATTTTGTAAAAATATAGGGCACAATAATTCTTGAAAAAGAAAATTGCATAAAATGTGAGATGGACATATTCCTTGACTTATATACTAAGCTACAGGTAGTATATGCCCTTTGCTCTTATCAGTATCGTGATTAGATGTATTTATTTTGTTATTTTATAAAACTGCTAATCGGTACTAGGCCTGTCATTATTTTCACCTCGCCTAAATTTGCTATAGTGTGAAAAGTAAGCCTACTTATTATGAGATTGGCAACTTATATGCCCATAGAGGTTGTTGTAGTACATGTTTGTTGCTGCTTGATTGCTATTATCTTGAATTTTGACATATCCACTCTTATTTTTTTTTTTTATAACTGTAAATTTTACACCATAACTTTGACCGTTGTGATCCTGTACGCATGTTAACTTAATATTCCGTCATGTCTTTAGACGACGCTAATTAATTCATAAATTTCAATTTGCAAGGAGGCGCAAGGACCGATTGTGCGTACAATCCCCCCCCCCCTCCCACAAGCAGAAAACAGGTATAAAGTTATCTGAATTATTGAAAGTTGTAATTTGGTAATTAATGAAATCTCAAATTGGAAAATAAATAATTCGACTGTTCGAGTGGTGGGAGCTATTTTCCAACTTCTAATAATTCTGTTTGTCTAATCTAATTATTTTTTAGAATAATATTCATCGTATTTGTCCTTTTAATTAAAATTGCATTGATCGTTCAAATCCAACTTTAAAAATATTATATTTGAACAAGAAATCGAAGTTTCCGAGTTGTCACATTTTGTTTAATAATCAAATAACATGTCCCGATAATTAATTAGGAAAAAAAAACTGGCGTAACTAGTTTCGATAAAATTTCAGGAGTGCCATGGCGGTGAGAGACGAGAAAGAGGGAGAGAGATCGAGCTAGCTAGCTAGCTAGAGAGAGAGAGAGAGAGAGAGAGAGAGAGAGAGAGAGGGTAGAGGGAGAGGGAGACAATTTGTTTTGTGTTTTGTCTTTGCATAAATCATAATTGCATTTTCACATTAAAAACAAGGTCAGTTATGTGAAACGCTCTGGAACAATTTGTCTAAAGTGGTATGTACATTTCAAATACATGATCAACATTAATTAAGTTAATAATTTTCCAGATCTGTGATAGGCATTAACTTTCATTGTTTTAAAACCAGATTCATGATTTGCAAATGGATGTATACAATGCGAAAAAATTACTTTGTGTGTATACAATACCAAGGTCACTACGGCAACCCCTTCGCCCTAGACCCATACGATAGAATCACAATGTATCTGACTACGTCAGACCATGAGGCATAAGGCATGAGAGATGGATGAGCGGTAAGTCGTAATTTAATTTCGTTTCCGTTTAATGTTATATGTTACCTTAATAACATTAAAATCGACCGATATTGATTTTAATTCGTTTCACATTTTATTAAAAAGTAAATGATAGGCGGCGAAGGACGTGGAAGAAAGGGTCTGCAGTCCTCATTTTTTTTTTAGATTACCAATATTCGGCCAACTTTCATCCCGGGTAGCAAATAGATTATTTTTCATTTTTAAATCATAATTATTTATTATTATATTCGTTGACATAATTTGCACTTGCGCTGATAATAAGCATTATAATGTTATGCTTGCTCACTTCTCTCGCTCGCAAAGTATATTAGCGTCGTCACCCACTACCTGGGTGGCGTTTCACGAAACCGTCATAAGTACAAGTTCACATACATCCATTTGTTTTCAATTTAACACGCGTACTTTGAATTCGATATCAATGAACTTGTACTTGTGACGATTTCGTGAAACTCTGCCCTGAATTATATATTCTGACAGGGTCAGCATGCCAGTTAAAGGCAGAACCTTTCTGGCCATCTTCGCCGCCGTTGTTGTGGTGATAATTGTTTCAGTTGTCGTATACCACACATCAAACAAAAAAGGTAAGCCATAGGCCCCATGTTCTATATTCTGTACATTCCATTTATAATTTATATGAATTTTAAAAAAAAACACGCAAACACGCAAACAAACAAACAAACATACACAAATCTCTTACTCGCAGTAATACTTTATAGTGGTGTCCTATTTATAATGTATAGGCCTATAGTTTGTTATGACCAATTACGTGTTGATAATATAATATCCTGATTTCAGTCAAGGGGAGTGAGAACCCCTGAACCCAGGCGCGTACGCAGGAACGGAACGAAATGTCGATCGGTCAAATTTTTAAATTTCGGGACACACACACACACACACACACAAAATGTGCTCTTACCCCCCCCCCCCCCCACCCTCACCCCCCCCCCCCCCTCCCTTCGAAAAAAAATCCTGCGTACGCGCCTGCCCGAACCTCTATTTTGTGGGGGAAGCCTCATCTTGTCAACAATTCTATACAAATAAGAATGGTGTGCATTGCGCATGTTACTACTATACTCTCTTTTATTTTATTATTTTTTTTTTTTACAAACCCTTTAATGTTCATCAGGAAATTATTTCAGTTGAAGTATCCTAGGCATTTGTGTCAATTATTTTCATTTTTAAATTTAATTTCAGTTATTTTAGAAATAATAGAGTATGTACAAAACGAAAATGGTCACTTCTTCTTCTTCTTCTTAATCCCCATCTTCTCTTTTTCTTCTTCATGAAGACACTACCTCCGATTACATCGATCTAGCACCAGGTTCCTCACCTATGCTGCAAGCTCCACCAGCAGGTAAGACTAATACTGGAACGGACCACCCTCCCCCTCCCCTCCCCTATCCCATATCCACCCGTATAAACAGGGGCGGATCTAGCTTTTAGCCAAGGGGGGGGGGGGGGGTGTTTGACCCAGTGGCGGATCCAGGGTTTTCCAAAAATCGCGCCGTTTTACTTTTTTTTTTTTCTTCTTCTTTTTGTCCCCTTTTTTTTTCTTTTTCTTTTTCTCACTTGGCCGCCAAATGGGGGGGGGGGGGGGTGTCCAAACCGCCGAACCCCCTCCCCTAAATCCGCCCCTGATACGTTAAAAACTGCTTTTAAAAAAATCAACCGTATTGAAATGTGCGAACATGATAATGACGTTATTTTCTGAACATGATTGTTATGAGACATGCATTATAGGGTATTGAAATTGCTATTAATTTGATTTTCGAAAGTACATGTGTGTTTTTATATTTTTTATAATTCATTCATTCATTTATTGCAACCATGAGTTGGATTTCATACAAAAGAGAGGCATAAAAATGGTTCACAATATAGTTATGTATATATATATATATATATATATATATATATATATATATACACTTTGTACAATAAAACTGTATAAATTGACACTTTAAATACATAGATATGAAGAAAAAAAAACAAGAAACATTCGAGAGCAATCGCATTTAAACATAATTATAAGGTGCATGGGACTTCACAGGACCAGTAACTGACATCAACGTATTGTTCAGAAAAAATAAAATTGAGGAAGATTTTGAAAGAAAGAGAGAGATAGTAAACCCAATCTTTTTCTTATTGAAGTTTAATAACTATGTTTGAAAGGTTTTATACTAATAATAACAATAGTTAGCAAACAAAAGCAACGCTGATCTTCGTGCACGGTCGTGATTTTCGATAACTAGCGTTTGCATCCTTGAAGAAATATTTCATGACAATGCGATATTAACAAGATCATGGTGGTATGACTTTTAAATTACATTTATTATCATAATTATTTTTGTCATGTTCTGTTATCTCAATGTTTGTCTTTCCTTTGGTGTAAAACAACTGTACTGCATCAAAACAATACAACTACTGTAACTTCTTAAAGTTTATTTGTGTGCCTTTTATTTTCATCTCCTTCCATGCCTTCCAGCTATGATTACTATTACAGCATTTAAGTCAGGAAAGGAAAGTAACTCATGTGTTGAGTTGTGCAGCCAAACCTGCCGTGATAAATCGCAACGGGAAATCTAAACTAACCTACTATTTTTTCTTCATGGATTTCACGTTTGTGAGTATATAATGCTACAAATTTTCAAACAAGCAAACAGGAAAAAAGCAACGATATTAAAAAAAAACAAAAAAACAATTTAACTTAAACATCTTGTCAACATATTACTGAGCAGTTTCCTATGATCCTAGTAAAGACATACATTTCTTTTACTCAACAGAATAAAGGCGGGAAGATGCACCATAGATATTACAATACCTGACTGGGCTTCGTGTACAGAGTGCACCTTTCGACGTTTAAGTTTGCACACTATTTTAATATATAAACAAATACAAAGCTAACTAAATGAATAAATAAATAGATAAAAAAAGTGAAATAAAATATCCCCCTCCCCCTCCCCCCTCAATTTGTTTTTGTTATCCTTATGTAAGCTTTTATAAAAGTTAACATGACAAACGAATTGTAAATAGCAAGATATTAATTGTCCATATTTAGTTATTGGTGGCATTTATGTGAAAAATGAGGACGCCTGCACTTTCTCCGCATTAATTAAAAGTGTTTACTTTGAAAAGTAATTAAACTACAGGTTGTATTTGATGAGCATACAGAAAGCAAAGTGAAACAGCTGTCATTTTGCTAAATTAACGGTTTAAAGAATATGACATTCATGGCAGTTATAGTAAATAGACAGAGGATAATACTATTTGAAGAAATCTAGTACATATTAAATTCTAGATTCATTTGAAATATATTATTGCTTTCTTTGTCAGGAACCACCATGTGGTCTTCCAATTTCAATAATCACTGTTTAATTGATTAATTTATAGGACGGGTAATATATTATGGAGATACATTGCTACTTCGGGACACTTTGCTGAGAGAAGAACGAACAAAAGGGCATAGACCTGTAATTTCTTCAGGAAGATTTGCAATAAACTATAAAAAAGTGAGTATAGTTGTCTGTATTGTTGTTAGAGCTACCAGGTTTTCACAATCTTACTTCAATTCACCTTTCTAGTCTAAAGTAAGCCCAAATGTTCGATTCTGTGCTTCAATCTTTCAGATATTTTAGCCTCATTGTTCTGATTTTCGTTTCATGATCATCAAACGTGGAAAAGTATGTCTTTTTATCAACACAGAGAGTCTAATTTTCATTGACACCATCAGAATGCCCTTGCTTAGCAGCTCAATAGGAAGTGATGGTTTTATTATCTGAAAGTTTGTACTAATTGTCAGCTTGAGCTCAACCCTATTTTGAATGATCACTGCAAGACAGAGAAACACCGAATGAGATATATAGGCGGAGAGAGAGAGAGAGAGAGAATACAGTACGAAGGAAAAGAAGAGCACTGAATACAGTGCTTTAAAAAAAAAATATAATGGGCTTTACTTATATCAGTCAGATCTTTTCTTTTTTTACTTCTTGATCGGGATCGAAATTTTGGGGCATCATCCATAAAATGCGATTTTGTTTCTAACCGGGATTCGTCTAATTTGCAGGCAAAAACTGTTTGTCAATCGTAAAGCTTGGCAGGTCTGAACTGCAAGACTATGAACACACAGCTCTCCATAGGCACTGTACAATATATGAATCTTTTGGAGTGAGTCGGAGACTGATAGTTCAAGGCTAGGGTAAGAACTTGAGGGGATTGGGTAACATTGCCGCAGATTCTGAAACAACATTTTGGATTTAGCTCATGCTGCAATGATAATTACAAGCCTTTAGGTCAGTCAGGAACCCCATGGCTTTCACAAGCCATTCGCTAGTCTGATTATCAAGATATTTATGTTTGAAAATCGAAATCAAATTTAGCGTTTTCCTAACGGTTTTCCTAACTCTACAGTCTATTGGGGAAACTGAGTATGGAATAACCGGTCACTCAAAGATTTTTACTTTTTTTAGGCATTTCATGATCATTTTGAATCCCGATTTTTTTTGTTTAGGGGCTTCAATATTACACCATATCACAGACACTGATAACACACGTAGGGCCGTGTATCTCAGATTTAAAATTGTTAAACGATGCCTTTAATGGAATTTAGTAAAAAGCGCCAGAATATGATTTTGTTTTTCTCCAGCAAACTAGGATCAGAGTTAGTTCATAATGAAGGACAGACAGCTGACGACAAGTCCTACTGATATCTAATAAAAAGTAGAAAAGGCTTACACTTATTTAAAAAATAACACTAATAATCTTTTTCTAATTTATATTTTAGCATGGCTCACATCAGTATGAATCTGTCGGTCCTCCTGCTGACAGTGCTTGCAGCAATGGTGATCGCCAATTCCGAACCGAACATCAAAGGTGCTCCTGAGCCTGTTACTGACAGCATTACTGGTAAGTACAGCATTTCAATTATCGGTGGTGGGGAGAGGGGGGGGGGGGGGGTGGCCTAAATACAATACAAATACCGTTAGTTATCACACTATGAAGACAATACGAAATATTATCTTTTAAAGCCCCACTGTACTACTTGTAACTACTTGCTCCCTCTATATAGAAAACAATGCCTAAGCGGTGCCCGTTCGTCCCCATGATCCTCGTTTCCTTATGTTAATTGAGAGCTGAGTTGATGAGATAGCTACCTGCCAGTAACCACCCTGGGGGGGGGGGGGTAGTTGTCCCAGGGGGAATCGTCCTAGAGGGTGGTGGCCCTAGGGCGTAGTTTTCCTAGGGGGTAGTTGACTGGGGGTGGTTATCCGGGGGTTGGATGTCCATGGGGGTAGGTGTTCTAGAACAGGCCTTCTCAACTAGTTTATTAGAAGTGCCAAAATGAAAAGAATTTGTCGTTGAAGTGCCAACCTGTATATTTGACTGTGCTGCGAGGGAGCGTGGCGACCGAGCCGAAAACGGGTAGGGTCCAGGGGCAAAGCACCAATGGGGGTGCCCTGGAGCTGGTGGATTTCAGGACTTTCTATAAAGGCCCAGATGTGGCATTTTTAACACCATTTTATTCCAAAATATATCAATCATAATTTTATATTGATGTGAACAAATTGGTACAATTTCTGGGTACAATTTTACTGGAGGTAAATTTATATGTAGTAATTTTGGTGCAATAAACTCGGGAAATGTCCAAATTAAGTGAAAATCAAACAAAACAAAAACGTTATGTTTACAGAGATCGGCAATGTTAAAATTGGTAGCACATCTTAAGCGTATTTTTGTTTATACTAGAGCTCAGGTTTAAAGTCGTATAAAATGGTTTTGAAAAACGAGAAAATTCCCCTCTCTTCCTGTTTGTTAAGCAGACAATTTGGGCTCAACTTCGACTGCAACTTCTTAATTTTTTTATTCTGAAATATATATATACATATATATTTGCAACAGTCGCGCGCCACTCCGACTGACCGCAAGCGCCACGAGTGGCGCGCGCGCCGCTAGTTGAGAAGGCCTGTTCTAGAACCACAGGGAAGTAACGTGAGTGTGAGCTAGCTGGTATACAGGGTTCAAATCCCTGCCAAAACAATAGACACGTTTAATAGCACAATATTCAAATTGGAGGTATACTTTTTACACAAAGGTTGTTATTGACAACCTGAAAGCTTGTACGATGATTGCCAGACATAGCAACAAGTTATGGATTCAGACTGGATCCCAAGTAATATAGTTCAATTGCTAAAATATTTGAATGGAATAACTAGTAACTAGGTTCCCAGGAAAGAAGCATCCATAATTTTGAATATGTAAGTAAATCGGTCTCTTCCGAACAGAATAATGTTGCGCTATTCCGGAGGCTCGTAATTCCGAAAATTATATACGGGTCTATTATTCTGAAAAAGAATATGGTTAATAATTCCGAAATTGGAATAGGTTTCTTTATTTAGAAGGTTCTTATTGTTCCGAAAACGATACAGTCCTGGGTTTTTGTTTCATTTTCGAAACTATGAACCTATGTAATGATAACCTCTTTCCTTTTCGAAATTATGAAATCTATTTCATTTTCAGATTGATTAACCTTCCGAAATTACGAACTGCCCTAAATAACAAAAATTCAGCAGGGGGCGAATCTAGCTTTTTGCCAAGGGGGGGGGGGGGGGGTCAGGAGATGGGTCACACGCGGGTATTTCAGTCTCATAGTTTAGGGTGATCACACTGCCTATGCACACAGTTTGCCCCGCGAACACACACACACAAACACACACAACAGCAGTCAGTTGGTAGAAATAGCAATTTTTGTAAATGTATTTAAAAAAAACTAAACAATATTTTTAAATTTTTATTTCATATATATTTCAAGCATACCTTTAAATACAATTCTGTGTAGTTTCATTGTTAAAGGCATGTGGGAAATATGTTAATTATTGAATTCGAATATTGTTTTTTCAGCCATGTCTGACATGGCCCGCTGATCGCCCATTGACTTGCGCTGCTATTCTGCGTGGTGCAAAAAATGCACCTAAATGTATAAAACTCCCCTACAAAAATGCAATATCCTCATGTGTTTCACCCATTGAATTAATTTGTTATTTACGCTCAAGGTAGCCACAACTGTACTGGGGTCACTAAAGTTTCTGCCACTCTGAAATTCAGTCCTTGTGGAATGTTATGGCCAAGAGGGTTACCATCATGCCCAAAGATTGAATGGTATCTCGAAAAATCGTCATAAATCCTCAAATCTGACTTCTTTGAAAAAGGCAGAAATACTGTGATGTAGCTGAAAGTCTACAATTCTTATCATATCATCGGTTTTTCTGAATTATTTGTGAAACACATGAGGAAATAGCTGTGACGGTGATCCAAGTAATTTCTATCGCCATATTGTATTGGCATTGCAAAAATATTAGGAATTTAAGGTCAATATTTGGTGTAAATATGATCTATGAATATATGATTTTAAAAATGCCCCCAAAACAATCAGCTTGACTTTCCTAATTAGCATAATGAGTGCGCGAATATATAATTAGCTGAAATGACCTAATTTGCATATTTGATGAATATTCATGATTTTATTTTATTACAAATGAAATATATTTCCATACCTGTCTGATATACATAGGTTTCACGGATGTATCATGTTAGGTTTTGATTTGATTACATATGCGCATATTAATTAGGCGTACTTAGTTATTTTCACAACTTGGCAAAAATGGCAAAAATGACTTATTTTGTTGACTTCTGCTTTCAAAACGGTAATAGATATATAAATTTTCTTTTTTGTATTTTTTACCACTAAGATGATATGTCCAAGGTGTCCAAGAAAGTAATGAATTAAGTTGTCCCAACTTTGTCGAATTATGCCATTTTTGACAATTTGACCATTTCTGGCAGGTTTTTCGGTAATTTTGCGATATCAAAAAAATGGTATAAAATCACAGCGCATTGACCGATTTCAATTCTGTTTTTTGTTTTTTGAAGCTTTCATAAAGCTTGATCATTTGCAACCATCAAATAACATGTGTTTGTTGTAATTATTTTCGGTGTGCTATACCTACTCAGTCATATTGTATATTGTCTTGTATTGTTTAGATACGTCTGAATTAATCAATTAATTAATATAAATGGCTAGCTGAAATGTGATGTGCATTGGAGTTTTGAACCACATTTCTTGTACAACTAGCATGGATAAGTTGAAGTATTTAATGGATGTTTAGATCAAGCAATTGTTTAAAGAAACACACATAGAGATAAACATGTTACCGCTTTTATATTCGTCGGTCACCCACTTTTATACGCCTTGGGGCTAGGGACATATTGTTCTCCAAATATGCAACACTATTATTTTTCTTTAAATGATAAATTGTTGTAATAAAATGCAACGTCTTCAAAAACAATGTACATAAGTACAAATTTTGAGGAAAAGAATAGTTTTAATAATTGCTAATTTGTATCGAAAACAATGACGTTGAACCTCTTACCGCTTTGCCAATTTAAGGATTTTTAAGGATTGCTCTTGTTCTGTAGTATTCCTTGAGTCGAATGCAATGCAGTCATATACGAACATAGACATTATGCACAAATCTTGTCCTCTTCTTAAATGCATCTGGGCCTTGTCTTATAAAGAGTCAGGGGAGGATCTAGCTTTTTGCCAAGGGGGTGTTCGACCCAGTGGCGAAGCCACGATTTCCCCCAAATCGCGCCGTTTTACTGTGTTACTTTTTTCTTCTTCTTTTTTTTCCGTGTTTTTCTTCCCCCCTTTTTTTTTCTTCACTTGGCCGCCAAAGGGGGGTTTAAACCGCCAACCCCCCCCCCTAGATTTGTCCCTGAGAGTTGATATCAATCGCATATTTGAATCGCAACTGTGTACATATGCGATAGGGGACTGCCAAGTGCCAACTTGCCATTGATTAGAGGACTTACGATTGATTTGGATGATTGGATCAATCGCACCACTTTATAAGACGGAGCCCTGGTAACAAACGTGACCAAACCAATCCACACGATGTGGAATTATCGTCCCGAAAAGGTCAAATTAAAATTAAGCAAAAAAAAATTGACATTAGGAATAGGCCAAATAAAAAAATTTAAAAGTTTAGCGGCCTGTTTTTTTCGAAAAATAGGAAGGAGGAGGCCCATTTTTTCTTCTTTTTTTTTCTTTCAAAATGGCCCTCAAAATGGCCGCTTGGTATATTTTCCTGACAGTCGGGCTTTTTTTTTTTTGAATGGCCATATCTCAATTTGTCTCTCTTTCAATGTCACTTTTTTTAATGTATTATACATGTGTTTTGAGGAGCTACGACCTACAACGGTCATGACAACAGGAGTGAAGCCCTAAATATTCAGGCAACTATTCCGGAAACCTCTGCGCAAACATGTAATAACATTGGCAATACACTGCGATGAAAAATCCATCTATCTATCTATGTAAGTTGGTGATTGTAAGGTTTATCGCAGTATTCCTTCTACTTACTTAGATCAGCCTTCTTTTCTGCAAGGAATAATAACAAAAACATTAATAACAATATTTATAACAATAATATAAATGATAATAAAAATAACAATAATATTATGATCATCGTTTGTTTCATTATTCATTTCATGCTCAGTTTCTACAACTCCTTCAACATGCGTTCAGACCTGCATTGCCACGTGCTCATCTACCACATTGGCAGCAACCACGATGATGACCACTGGCTCTGCAACTGCAACAGAGGGGACGACAGCGGTAGCTTCGACTCAAGCCCCCACAGATCCTGTAACACCAACAACCTCAGATCCTGTAACAACACAAAATACCATAGATCCTGTAAACCCAACAACCTCCGAAGTAACAACTAGTGCTGCCACTCAAGCTATCACGACTGTTCCAACCACCGAAGTAACAACTGATGCTACCACTCAAGCTATCACGACTGTTGCAACCACCGAAGTAACAACTGATGCTACCACTCAAGCTATCACGACTATTGCAACCACCGAAGTACCAACGGATACACCAACTGAAGCTATCACAACTATTGCACCTACCGAAATAACAACTACTGCTCCCACTGAAGCTATCACGACTGTTGTACTCAACGAAGTAACAACTATTGCTCCCACTGAAGCTATCACGACTGCTGTACCCACTGAAGTAACAACTGATGCTACCACTCAAGCTATCACGACTGTTGCAACCACCAAAGTAACAACTGATGCTACCACTCAAGCTATCACGACTGTTGCAACCACTGAAGTAGCAACTGATGCTACCACTCAAGCTATCACGACTGTTGCAACCACTGAAGTAGCAACTGATGCTCCCACTGAAGCTATCACGACTGTTGCAACCACCGAAGTAGCAACTGATGCTACCACTGAAGTTATCACGACTGTTGCAACCACTGAAGTAGCGACTGATGCTCCCACTGAAGCTATCACGACTGTTGCAACCACCGAAGTAGCAACTGATGCTACCACTGAAGCTATCACGACTGTTGCAACCACCGAAGTAGCAACTGATGCTCCCACTGAAGCTATCACGACTGTTGCAACCACCGAAGTAGCAACTGATGCTCCCACTGAAGCTATCACGACTGTAGCAACCACTGAAGTAGCAACTGATGCTCCCACTGACGCTATCACGACTGATGCAACCACCGAAGTAGCAACTGATGCTACCACTCAAGCTATCACGACTGTTGCAACCACCGAAGTAGCAACTGATGCTCCCACTGAAGCTATCACGACTGTTGCAACCACCGAAGTATCAACTGATGCTCCCACTGAAGCTATCACGACTGTTGCAACCACCGAAGTAGCAACTGATGCTACAACTCAAGTTATCACGACTGTTGTACTCAACGAAGTAACAACTATTGCTCCCACTCAAGCTATCACGACTGTTGCAACCACTGAAATAGCAACTGATGCTCCCACTGAAGCTATCACGACTGTTGCAACCACCGAAGTAGCAACTGATGCTACCACTCAATCTATCACGACTGTTGCAACCACTGAAGTAGCAACTGATGCTCCCACTGAAGCTATCACGACTGTTGCAACCACCGAAGTAGCAACTGATGCTACCACTCTAGCTATCACGACTGTTGCAACCACCGCAGTAGCAACTGATGCTCCCACTGAAGCTATCACGACTGTTGCAACCACCGAAGTATCAACTGATGCTCCCACTGAAGCTATCACCACTGTTGCAACCACCGAAGTAGCAACTGATGCTACCACTCTAGCTATCACGACTGTTGCAACCACCGAAGTAGCAACTGATGCTCCCACTGAAGCTATCACGACTGTTGCAACCACCGAAGTATCAACTGATGCTCCCACTGAAGCTATCACGACTGTTGCAACCACCGAAGTAGCAACTGATGCTCCCACTGAAGCTATCACGACTGTTGCAACCACCGAAGTAGCAACTGATGCTACCACTCAAGCTATCACGACTGTTGTACTCAACGAAGTAACAACTATTGCTCCCACTCAAGCTATCACGACTGTTGCAACCACTGAAGTAGCAACTGATGCTCCCACTGAAGCTATCACGACTGTTGCAACCACTGAAGTAGCAACTGATGCTCCCACTGAAGCTATCACGACTGTTGCAACCACCGAAGTAGCAACTGATGCTACCACTCAAGCTATCACGACTGTTGCAACCACTGAAGTAGCAACTGATGCTCCCACTGAAGCTATCACGACTGTTGCAACCACCGAAGTAGCAACTGATGCTACCACTCTAGCTATCACGACTGTTGCAACCACCGAAGTAGCAACTGATGCTCCCACTGAAGCTATCACGACTGTTGCAACCACCGAAGTATCAACTGATGCTCCCACTGAAGCTATCACGACTGTTGCAACCACCGAAGTAGCAACTGATGCTCCCACTGAAGCTATCACGACTGTTGCAACCACCGAAGTAGCAACTGATGCTACCACTCAAGCTATCACGACTGTTGTACTCAACGAAGTAACAACTATTGCTCCCACTCAAGCTATCACGACTGTTGCAACCACTGAAGTAGCAACTGATGCTACCACTCAAGCTATCACGACTGTTGCAACCACCGAAGTAGCAACTGATGCTACCACTCAAGCTATCACGACTGTTGCAACCACCGAAGTAGCAACTGATGCTCCCACTGAAGCTATCACGACTGTTGCAACCACCGAAGTAGCAACTGATGCTCCCACTCAAGCTATCACGACTGTTGCAACCACCGAAGTAGCAACTGATGCTCCCACTGAAGCTATCACGACTGTTGCACCCACCGAAGTAACAACTGATGCTCCCACTCAAGCAACAACTATTGCTCTCACTCAAGCCATCACGACTGTTGCACAGGAGGTGACTACCACTTCTGTTGCGACAACCAGCGACACAACCATTGCCCCTGCTGCTGTTATAGATGCTTGCGTAACCGCCTGTTCTCCCACTGAGGCCATAGACACTTGTCGCCAAATCTTTGACGCCCTTGATCAGACGATGTCAGCGTTGTTCTGCGATGGTCTAGCCGCAGCAGCAGCAGCTGCAATCTGCACGACTTGTACTATCACTAACATTGTCTAAATGACAAAGCGTTTTCCATTCGAAATAATACCTCGCTCGTGATCCATCGCTTTTTTTTTTTTGCTTTCTTAGTTCTTTGCCTTTTTTCGGGGAAGGGGGTGTAGATTTTTTTCATGATTAATCTTGGTTTAATTATTACAATGTGAAACAGTAGCATTGTCTTTTTTTCAGAGCAATTTAAATCAGTATAACACAAAAATGAAATAATATTGATAATACTATTGATAAATTATAAAGGAATTAGGATGAACTATTTGAGGAATCAATTGTAGGGAAACGTTACTCCTTTGTGTTACAAATCCCGGCATTGCACTGCTGTAGTCTAGGTTAGCTGCGATGTAATGGCATTGATCTGCATTTCTTTTAAAATCAGTTACACCTTGGACGTGAGAGCTGAGGGTCACAGTGATGAGTGAATCCAAAATCAATATCACTACTACCGGGCATAATAATAATGATTTAAAGATAAGTGAGGTGGTGTGGGGTCAAATTTGGGGGACTTGCTATGATGATCTTTAATTGAAGTGCTGACTGATAAATATATTACTATTTAAGATTTTGTTTTAAGGTTTTGAATAGAGATGTTCCGATAAAATCAAACATTTCTCGGCACTAATCTTTTTACTCAAGAGTCATAGCTCTATTTAAGTTTTCAGTTCATTTTAATTTAGAATATAAATAACCTGATCTTTATAACCATACACATATAAAGTGTTCTTAATGTATACCTGTGTAATAACACATTTTTGCTCATGTATGGAATCCAATAAATCCTTCTGCTGGCAAAATTATATTTCGTTTAATTCTTTTTATTCATTTTTTCAAGATTTATTTGTTCTGTCATTATTATGATTATTAATATTATTATCGTTATTATTTATTGTTGTTGGTGGTGATTCATGATGATCATTGTTATTATTAATATATTAATATTATTGTGATTATTTTTACACATATACTTATATTGTTATTATTACTTTTATCATTATTATTATTAACATTATTGTTGTCATTATTTTCATTATTATATTACATATTTTGGGGGCTGAAGGGTTTCCATGTAAGGCTAATTCTCGTTAGAAACGTGGCGATATTTCACATTGGCGCACAGTTGCGTCATTGACTGACCCAGCCTTTGGCCCCGTCACGTAAAAGGGGACTTTGTGTAAAGAGTGAAAGCAAAATGAAAAAAGCATTTGTTTCTTCGTGTTGCATTTATGTATTCTCTAATTGCATTCAGTAGGTAAGGTAAGTAATGGTATTTATTCATCAACATATCACAGCCAATGGCTGAATTGCATGCATGATTTACAGAGATTTGATTTTGAAGAAGAAAAAAACGCATCATATTTACAATTGGTTATATAACAATAATTCAACGAAAAAACTCATTTAAAGAGAAGGTTGAGTTCTGGGAAGAGGTGGAAAATAATTTATGAGCTTTACTCATTCTTATTATGCAAGTGTGGAAGAACTTCAGTTAAGACATGTTCCCTGAAAAGCATGGCTCTTCAAATGCCTTCATATTCTAAATATGCATGTAACATCGTAAAAATCGGGGGCCGGCTTTTTACGCCACGTGTTCGTGTAGTCCCATATACATCTTTCTGTGCAAGTTTTTGTAACTTTACCAAGACTTGGCCAAATTTCTTATCATTTTGATGATCCCAGAACCTTGCAATACACACAAATTCTTATACGCTAGATGATCAACCTTTTCTGGTCAGTTCCACACCGTTTCTTTCACAATGCAATCGCATGACCAGAACTCAACTTCATCTTTAAACACACAAAAAAAAAAAGGAAAAACGAAGTAAAGGAAAAAGGTGGAGCGGAAAGATAAGAAGAAAAGAAAAGAAATGTTGATGGAAAGGGAGTGGAGAGAGAAGGTGAGATTAGAAGGGAGAGTGAGGGGGAGAGAGAGAGAGAGTGGGGGAAAAAGAGAGAGAGAGTGGGAGAGAGAGAAAGAGAGAGAGTGGGAGAGAGAGAGAGAGTGGCAGAGAGAGAGAGAGAGTGGGAGAGAGAGAGAGAGTGGGAGAGAGAGAGAGTGGGAGAGAGAGAGAGAGAGTGGGAGAGAGAGAGAGAGAGAGAGACTTCAGTGACTTAATTAGCGCAGGAGAGCAAAATGACCGACGCCTCGTGCGCAGCGGACATGACTGGCTATAGGGATCTGCTCCCTGATACAGGTGTTGGAATGAAACTATGAAGAAAGTTAATGGTTTTAAACTGAAAAAAACACATCAGATGTAGAGTGGGAGAAGAAAAAAGAGAGAGAAGATGCAACAGAGAGAGGAAGAAAGAGGATGGAATATCGACACACGGGGGGGGGGGGAGAGAAAAGGAGGAACATCAGAGTGAGAGAGAGAGAAGATGAAAAGGAGAGAGAAAGAGAGCGGTAATTAGGGGGAAGATTGATCTGATAGAGAAAGAATGGAACCGAGGAAGAAAGAAGGAAGGAAAGAAAGAGTAAGAGAGAGAGAGAGAGAGAGAGAGAGCTCTACACAGACGAAACATAGCATGGACAATGCTTGAGAATGATTCAGATGAACGAATTATAGAGGGCTACCGCTATCGAGGGAATAAGTCAGTTTGCATTTTTCTATTCAGTTATTAAAGGTAAAGGCCAGTTTTGGAAACGCCCCTCTCTTATAAAATGAAATGGAAGCTCTTATTAATCATGTGTAGGAATATGCCTTGACTGAAACGTGATGATACAAATTTTGCCGGGAAACCGCCTACTAATTAATATATTTGGTAAATTATCATATATATATAATATCTATCCGGCCTGGATAGATATCGCGTAGTCCCATCTGTGTACAGTGCTTGCAACTTTACCAAGACTGGGCCAAATTTCTTATCATTTTGATGGTTCCAGAACCTTGCAGTACACACCAATACTTACATGCTAGATGATCAACCTTTTCTTGTTCAAATATTTATTTTTTAAACATACTTTTATATCAAAAGCGTCATACCTGAAATTCTTTCATTTTCTTTCATTTATTCAGATAAAATATATTAAAAAATAGATCGATTCATCATGTTTATGTGCAATCTACATGTACAACAAATTCAGGGAAAAAAAGACTAAACGTCTTTTGTGCCCTACAAATTATTAACCACACACGACAGAGTGTTTCTGGTGATGCATAGAATTGAATTGAAAATGGGGTAAAGAGAGAGTGTCAAATAAAAGGAGAGAGAGAGAGATAGGGATGAAGAGAAAGAGAGCGACAGAGAGAAAGAGATAAACAAAGAGGAAAAAAGGTGGCTAAAACGAAGGCTATGAGAAGGTATTGTATTTGCACAAGAAATATTGCTAACATCGGAAAACCTTGTGAAAATATAGAGAAGGCTTTAGAATCCCCCCCCCCCCCTCCCCCAAATGTATCCCCTTTATTCAAATATTCGACCAGAAGGGACAAATTTACGATGACAGTACATTGAATAGGATAAGGTTTCGGGTTCGAATCGTGCTAGGTCCTTACATTCTTGAACCAAGGTGTTGTCAAACATGTGTCCCTCTCAACTCAGGTTCATTAAATTGTTACCTATCTCCTGAAGTTATGAGAAATGCACGGCCCACAGGAAGAACATTAATGATTGTGATAACGCAAATATCGATAAGATCATACGTATCTTTATTAAGTGTCGGAACAAACGAATAAGCGTGCGACCTAACGGCAATATAACCACAACATTCCATTTCTGCCAATCACGCTTTGCAACAGTTTTCGATGACTCTCCTGCACATGTCCTTGTACCTCTGGAGGGGTTCTATCTCCATCCCTTCGACCTTTGCCCTTTCATCCCATTGTCTCATGCGAAGTATGACGTCATGGTAGGGGGATGCCTCAAAGGATGCCGCCTCATCTGCATCCATGGGGCCGCCTTGGTGCACAAGCGTCATCTTACTCGCTTCAGAAAGATCTGGATTAAGGGGGAAAAAAATCAGTTAACCTGTTGAATAATGGATTCTCTCATTCCCATAGGCTTAACACAGGCACAATCCGGTTACAGTAGGCAATGGGTTAAAATGTATTTTTACTTCGGTTGCTTTCTTCGCCTATCATTCTGCACGACACATTCCTCACATGCAATTTTGCACAACAAAATAGGCACCAAATGACTGAGGGATCCTGAGCATTACCAATTTCCCGGTCTCGATTATTTTGCACCATGACGACCCTTGCGTCGGCATCGTTTGATGTTGCACTGGAAACAGTTAAATAATAATGAACCCTTATGTATATCAATCTTATGATAAATGCAAGCGAATGGAAGTTATTGTGTAGTATACATGTATATATTATTTATGTATATATAGCGTTAAGATAATGATGAAAAAGACTGAAAATCAACTCAGGGGCAGCTTCAATATCCTATCGTACGGTATATGGACAATTCTGATTAATAGTCATTGTCATATATTGGCACACCAATAGGTGGCAAACAAGGCTAAATTTATTTCTGAAGTGCTTGCGATCGTGTGTGAGATTGATGTCAAGTTATGGTCCAGTTCAAAGGAACGAATCCGTTTAAAAGGATAATATAGATCATCCGACATCTGACTTGAGATGTTTGCTCCGGGTGTTATTTCGTTCATTTACTGGTTATAACGTTTGACTAGGTTTTGAGGATAATTTTAGGGTTATTTAGGTGTTCAGGACTGACAGAGAATTCGATAGATGGCTGGACCAAGGGTAAATGTCGCCGGAGCGAGCCCTGGGCATGATCTTTTTCTATGTCAACCCCAAATGATATCGATTTATATTAACCATTGAACATTGGATAATGATAATATATTATCATGACTGCCACAAACGTATCTTTATCGTTTACCTATAGGATCATTGGGCGGAACTAGTATTGCCAAAGCGTCGGTAAAACCTGTCAAAGCCTCGCTTTATCCAAATTTACGGAAATTGGCAATTATTTCTTAAAGCAAATGCGCTGAATTGCTCACTCTTTTAATAAACAAGCAGATGATTATTTCAACCTTCCTGTCATCAAATATTACTCTTCAACACGTACTTTTTCTATAGTCTTCATTCTTATAAACCAAGTATCGCTTCGCGTCCACATGACCCTTGACCAGCTTGCAAACTGTTTCCGGTAGGCCAAGATCAAGAAGGAACTTTTCTCCCAGCATCTCATGATTCGCTGCTCCCAGGATGACCCCGCCTGTTTCCATTCGAGCCAGGCCTTGTTCACTGCCGAGAAGATGCCCAATATCATGGAGAAGCGCACCTATTATTACCTTTAAAACAGAAGAATGATTGAATTAATAAACAAATAAATATATTGATCAGTAAATAAATAAAAATATACATACAAAGATACATAAATAAAAGGATAGACTAATTGATGGATATTAAAGATTAATACATTAAGTGAATAAAATTATGCTGTACGGAGATGATTACGGTGATTATACGTGTAGCTACATGTATGTTTTAAGTCGTGCATTTATATACATCTAAGAACTTTGAATAGAGTTTACAAAGAGCACATTACCCTTGAACTTTCATTCTACATGTGTACCATGTTTATGGCTTCCAGCAAGTGCTTCAGTCATTTTTCTAGCATTTAGATGATTCCTTAAACTCACAGTACACATCAAAGAGGTTACGTAATCAACCATTTACGATTGCTTTTAGTCAGTTTCTTTTACAATGCAATCGCACGACCAGATTACTCATTTTATAATCATTTTTATCTTTAAGATAATAGGGACTTTTAGATTTGCGTGGACTAATACGTGTGACGTCCATTCAAGGCAGTGCTTAATAAGGACGTCGAGCGTAGCATAGACCTATTGTCTTCGTGCGAATCTAAAAGTCCCTAATCACTGATCGGGACCGAACTGACGAATAGACTTTGTACTTTTGAGGTCATAATGCATATACAAAAAATACATTAAAAAATCTATCATTAGACTACTAGTATAGTATGGTAGTTTAATAGCATAACATATTATATTCACATATACTATACCTCCTGTGGGAAGCCATCTTTCTCGGCATGCATGGCACACTGCACCATGTGTTCTGTCTGTGACACCGGTTCTCCTATGTAATCCGCACTGCCATGGTCATCGAAGAGCTTGAAGATACGTTCGACAACGGATTCAGCGTCCATGTCCAATTCCACTTGTGTGCCTCAGACGATCGTCCACAGGTTGATGGGTGGTTTCAGTATGGTCTGGTTCTATACAACAATGTGCGGCCAAGGTTATTCAGACAATATACTTATAATACCTATTTTTAATAGGTCTTTATGTCCACACAATAAAACACTAGTGGCTGATAAGCCAAACTCGAAACGCATTATCATATCTGGCTCAACGTGAACAGCTTGTGCGACCAAAGTACTCGTGATTTTACAAAGTCAAGTAAATACCATGATTTAGATGCGTTTGCAAACAGCTTCGTTATTGACTCATCAAAGGGAATTATCAGTAGACGCGTTTTCGAATTCCCTCCTAACCTTCCATGTAGGCGGTAAGAATAACATTAAAATAGCGCCATCTATGCCAAGCAGTGGTGGATCAATGATTGTGCAGGGGGTGTCGGGAGGGGGGGGGGGGGGGGGGGGGGGGGGGGGGGGGGGGGGGTGGGGATGCACAAGCCCAAAACACTGTTTTCAACAAGGAAAAACAAAAAGAAAACACACAAAGGAGTCATCAGGTGTTTGAGTGTGGGTGTGCTGTTTTTAGTACACAACTATGTGATACCCCCCCCACAACAAAAATAAGAATATGTATACATATATATTTCTATATACTGTATATACATTTCATCGGCTCATCGGCCAATGATTTTTCGTCACATCATCTTAATCTGCTATTGCTGTCTTTGTGGCCTGTTATTGAGGAGGGGGGGGGGGGCAAAACAAGTATCCATTGGGCTACGGATTCTCCACTGTTGCTAGACAATTTTCTTTTTTTAAGATTTCAGGGATGTAATTCACGGTGAATGGACAAAAGTACAGGTCTATTTTTTTTAATTTATTTATTCTTTTTCTATTCATTTATCATTTATTTACTTATCGATTTATTTATTTCCTTGTCTATCCATTTATTTCTTTATTCTAGTCTTCTTTATAGTATTGGTCTTTCAACGTCTGTTTTATAGTGTATGCTAAATTTACAACTACAAAACGTTTAACATCCTTAACTAAACATATGCAAAACTGCACCGTTTTGATATCAAATATACATACAAATGTCACAAACGATTTCAGACGGTTGCACATTCTGGTGCAATCATTTATTTTTATTAAACATATTATTTCAATATAAGAATATTATACAACGACATAAAAAATCGAACAAATAAACACTGAATCACGTAATTTCATGCTACCACTCTACACTACACTGTCGGAACCAAAAAATAACAATCATAATTTGAGCCTTTTTCTCGATCCATTAGGAAATGTAATAATTTTTCCAGTGAGACACCGACTCATTATGCTCAAACTTAAAATCCTACCAAGACTTTACACTAATCGAAACGAGAGAGAAATTTGTTCAAGATTATAAAAATGTCTGAACATGTGCAAATCTTCTTCTTTTTTTCTTTCTCTTTAAATCTTGCGTTTTTTGAAAATTATCATTCATATAATCGCCGAAGACGTTTTCGTAAATAAAATGTCTACTCCGCTTTTTAGACTGAATCTTATTATGGTATACAAATGATCCGTAGGTATGAGTGCATCGGTAGGAATTGTGTGCTCAAAGTACCTTTGAGAATGGTTTTTGACAATTCTACCAACACACCGAATAAACCTGCGCATCATCTGATCTATAGAACTGGCGCAAACAGAATTAACGCCCAATTAAAAAAGACAATTTACCAGGCGAAAAAAATAAAAGATTTTGCTGCTTTTGATAATGCTGCTTTGTGTTTTAGAACAGAAGCCTAGGCTTGAATGCCTCTATTTACATAGAGTATGTATGTGACAATAAGAACAAAATCTGCAAAAACCTTTATGATCACTGAGTAGACAGTAGTCAATATACTAGTCTTTAAATAAAATAAAAAATTTGAAAATCGCGCCGGCCGAAAAGTCGCTCAGTGGGGGGTTGGGGGGGGGGGGGGGGGGGGGGGTAGTGAGCACATTTTTTTTTTTTTGATCCTCAAAAAAATTTCAATTTGCACCCCCCCCCCGTCAATCACGTGATTTTACATGATTTTTTTCTCAAGGGGGGGGGGGCCGGGCCCCCCGGCCCCCCCCCCTGGATCCGCCACTGCATGGAAATGTAAAATAAACACATTGAAATAAGATATAACTTGTTTATTCACAAAACAATGATATTAAACAAAATATCAAATTTCTCTTCTTCTTCTTCTTCTAATGTCATCGTTTTGTAAACTTGTAATGTAAGTGAAAAACTATTTTTAAAAAGACAGACCTTGAATTAAATACCAAACATACACATTCCTTGCAATAGAGAGTTGCAATTGATATCAAGTTGCGATCGAATTTAATGACTTACAGCTCTTTAGAAGAAGGGGACATAAATAATATAGGTTTTCCAGTCCATCAGAGTTGCATTTGAATACATGAAAAGGCGTTCAAATTCGAAAATTTTTCGCCAACTCTCTGCTCTCATGGTTCATTTTCATTCTTTGAGTATTCGATTTCGTTATCATTCCTTTTACATTTTATTTTATTCAATTTAGAGAGTAACCATTCAAAGTATTGACGCGAAGTTGTCATTTTATTTCGCGCGAACTTGATGGACGTTTAATTTCGTCCTTAATACCAATTTAAATTTCATTCACAAGCACATACCTTCATACGTTCGAAACATAAACTAGTTCTGTTATTCTATGTAATTCTTTTTTCGCCTCATATTTAGTTTTTTTTCGCTAACAGTTTCATAATGTTTATTTTAATCATATTTGTTATATTTATTTTCGTTCTAATGTTCTCTTCCAGTTTCACGTTATTCCCTAGCAGTATGGATTCAACTCTTACATAATCATTTAAATATAATTTTTTCTTTTGCTTCAATGACAGTTCGTCAGAGAAATGAGATATTTCAGGTACATTAATTTTGCACAATTTATTCAAACATATGCAGATTGCAAAGAACATAAACATTAAAAAAGACTGCCCGAATACTTTAAAAGCTTGCCTATTCATGAATTTTAAATACCTTTACGTTCATCAGGGCGGTCCAATTATGTGAGAAAATCATAAAATCGCATGCTAATACAATTAAATTAAGAGAAATAGAGAGCTTTTGTAATGTTGATCTCGGTAATCATTCAAATTCGCTCGAAACTGAATGATCGCATCGTTAAATTAGGATGCAACGTTGACGAAATTGGGTTGGGAAATCCTATATCAACCCTGTTTTGCCGGGTACCCATTCAGTACACTTGCGTCAAGAGAGACATGTGGAAACACATTGTCAAAATGTGTAAGCACCGAAGAAGGATCGAACTATTTAGGTGTTACTTTCCAAGCCCATCTATCGAGGAGCAAGAAATGACGAAAGTTACGTCGAAAGTGTATGTTAGTGGCTGCGTAGATAAAGGGATTTATCATAGAGTTGCTCCATACAAGGGCATTTGTGACTTCCCAGTTGAGGTATGATACACAGTTGTGGCCACAGATTGCGAACATGACGCTCGTCACTTGGATGGGCACCCAGCATATCAAGAAAAAACCCACGAGAAGGCCAAGAACTACAGCCGCTTTCCGATGCCTTGCGAATATCTGCCTGTCTGTCTTCTTCTGTTTGGGTACCTCACTGCCGCTAGGTAGGTTGCCATCTGGTTGAGGTCTATTATATTCCTCCACGGTCTCAACAGCAGGAAGTGATGAAGCTCCTCTGGTTGCCTGTTCCTTGACAGCGCCCTCTCCTGGAGGACAAGATGGTCCAGGATCCTGTGAGTTGTCTGTGTCTTCTAGACTTCTTGCAGTTGATTTGGTCAAAGGAAAATCCTGGGGACTCTGCCCTACGATGCCCTTAGATCTCTGCCTGATGTTCCTATACACAGCTATGTTGAGGATAATCAGGGCTGTGAATGGAATAAAAAAACTCAAAAGCGTTTGCAACCAATGTCGTGGCAAGACTAGATGCAAATTCCATTTCACAGTCCCATGTATAGTCCACGTGGTACTCTCCTGTTATAGGGCTCCAAGCAAACGCTAGGATTGAGTACCAAGCGAAAACAATTGTCCATGTCATGACGATGATAAGACCGATTCGCTTCTTAGTCTGAAACGTGCTGTAACGCATCTCCATCGTCAAGAGACAGTAACGGTCCCAACTGATCATCACTAGTGTTAAAGCCGACACCATAGTCATCGTGTAATCCACAATTAACCACACCTTGCAGAAGATCTCGCCATGTACCCAGTCATCTTTGATCAGCCATTCGAGGGTTATGGGCCACATGAAAGTTCCTACGACGAGATCCGTAATTGCCAGGTTTAAGATGAATAAGCTGGCCACATTAGCCCGAATGCGACGGTCCCTCACGTAAGCCAGAATGACCATGATGTTTCCGATGATCGTAACGGCAATTATGAGCGAAACAATTAGTGGAACTATGGCAAGCCAAGTTTTTGAATAAGGGTATTCGTAAACATAGTCGTAAGACAGACTATCAGAGCTCGAATCAGAACTACTTGCGTTTTGCGTTAATGACAGGCTACTGTAAAGATGATCCATCTATCTTTTTGGTCAAACAAACAGGTTGTTGAAATTGATGTGAATAAAGATGTGCAGCTGTCTGTAAACCGATCACCCGATGGCGTTCTGTCGTCCTATAGATACAAAACCAAGAAAAGGGGTGCAAGAAAAACAATTTATTAAAGAGATATATTGTGTTTTAAAAATATGCCCAATAGAAGTTATTGATAATAACTAGCTATAGGCAAAAGAATAAAAACTATACGATTTTTCATTTAATGATGATTTATCCTGCCGTTCGAAATTGCCTATTAGTAAATGGAGAGACGTTTATAGCGACAAGCACAAGACACAGCAAACAACGGGGCGTTGTGACGTGCGCCTGTAAACCAGCTAACAATGGAAATTATAAACTGATTCAGCTGAGGACGCAGGTTCGAAAATGAGTCACGTCTTTCGGATAGTGACGTTAAAGGTCGATACCGAGACGTACATAATCATATCTAATTGAAACACGTCTATAAAAATCCAATTACACACACACACGCACACTCACACACGCACGCACACACACACACACACACACACACACCTTAATTATGTCCAACTGAATGACTTGTGTCCAGGGGAACTACGACGTGTTCTCTTACATTTGGAAGCTTGAACAGCTGATTGATTCCGAGAGCCTCGATTATAAAAATAAAAACAATATTTATATTAATTATTATTATTATTATTATTATTTATTCGGCATTTCAAAATACAAGAACAATACAGAGTAATATGCAAATTACAGCAATTACAGGAACATATATATATATATATATACATGATAAAGAAAGGACCTGAATCAGAGATGATGGGGCTGCCTGGGTTTGGAAAAGGTTAACTAAATTACCATGACCCAATTAGATGTTATCCCTGTCCATATAACTATAAGACCCGATTTCGGAAAAATTGAATACTGGCAAATACTTGGAAAACAGCGAAGAACGCTCACGCGTAGTTCATATAGCGTCATCATACTTCAATGCGAGGTAGTGTGTAAAAAAAAATAGACAAATCTTTCGAAATTAACATAGTGTCGATTATTAAAAAAAATTGTGCAGAACAATGTTGTGGTTCAATTTTCTTCGAAATCTACGAAAGAATAGTCATGTATAAATCCTTTCAAAGTGACAAACATGATATAAATATATACACGGCGTTAAATCAAGTAAACCGATTACATTGTTAAAGGCTGATGAAAAAACTACGTACTTTTTGTATGTAATATTATATTGTTTTTACCGTACCAATCCTCTAACATGCAAATAATCCTGAACAAATTCTCACACCACAAACTTTAGTTATGGTTTTCTTTGAAGGCATCACTATGCAACACCCTTTAATATAACAGTGAATTCTCCCAATAAACTTTATAATTTCCCACCCGTTTGTCAATGAAAATAAGACTTAAATATTTAAGAATTAAAAATTCAACACTTAATTGTTTGAAATCGTAAATATGGCCGATTCATTGCTTTGCGATGGTTTCCATTCACCTAAAAATAAATTAAACTAAAATAATATAGTTCGGAGAATTAAGGAATCGATTAGATCCATTTCCCCCAATTGTTTTCATTAATAATAGTCTGTTTTCACTCTAACTTTCAGATTACCTTTAATTGTACACCTAGCAATTAACTACTGCCAATAATAATAGCTCACAACTGCCTACACCGACTTTTAGGAATTATCACTGACGGTTGATTGATAGATCACCACAGCTTCTTCGGTTTTACTGCGAGGAGCTGATTCTTCGATAAGAGTTGCAACTCTCAGTATAATCGAATTCATCGACCTTTTTCGTCCGGTCAACATTTGTTATAGCACCTATTCCTTGCAGTTACTCCGAGCTTGACACACTGCTATACGTGTTTGGGACACTTAAACGATTACATGTCAACTCAAAGAAGACCAGGTCAATCAATACAATACAATGTCCTCTAAAAAAAAGGACTTTATCGTGTCCGATGTCCATCGCTTTATCTCGCTCAGATCAACACCCTCAAAGCTGTGTCATCGACATCACACCTTCGTAATATCTTTATTCAGTGGAGCGATCATCAGCGATGATTCTCATTAGCATTTATTTTGCTAGTAGAATAGGGACCATATAACATTGCCATCAACGCCCTCCAACCTTCAATATCGACATCCCGTGGTGCATTACATTTTTTTTTTATTTGGGGGAGCGATGAGTCTTGCGCCAATATTTAATACTCTAACATAATATCGTATCCTAGAACATTACCTCTTAATTCAAATCGGGGATAATCGTATTCATTAATATCATCACGCTTGTATTCATCTTCAACAAAAATATGAGATGACAACTTATAATGTCATTCAAACATTTAATTATACCAATACTAACGGTGGCTTCTTTAAATAGCGCACATGCCCGCCACACTGTGACGCTCCTGGCTTTCCTACATTATTATCTCGGTGATAGCCGAGCAGCCTAATTTGGCTGGGGATTGGCAAAAGTGGATTAATGTCTTGCCAAAGGACCTTAGTGCCGAGTTGGGATTCGAACCCTTAATCCTTGGATTGAGAGTCAAGTGACTGAACTCCAATTCGATGACACCTCAACCTGCGATCCCAGGGAGGGATATCATCTAATTAAATTAGATAGTGACTGTTGATAACATGTTTTAAAAAATCAATAATTGAAGTTTTGTGGAATTAGTCAAGCTACTGAAACTAGTACAACACGTTTAATTTACCTGGGCACGTTTTGTTGTGACAGGCTACTTCAAGTGAAAATCAACGGTAAACAGATTAGAAGCCAAATACTGAAATCAATTCTTAAAGATCAGTTTCTGCGGCTGGGTTTCTACAGATTAAAAGATATTTCAGACAGTGCATTTAATATTCAAACTTAATTGAAAAATTTTATTCTAAGGAAGATTTACAATAATTTACCTAATATGATTTCATATTTTTTTAATTTTTTTTTGATCCGTCCTATGAGGAATCCTATAATACTAATAGGCAATTTCAATGGGATCAATCATATGAATAAAGAGCATGAATGAATTCATGAGCGGATTTGAGAAGTAATCCGTGTTTGAAGTCCGAGCACCGACCTTTTTTTTGGTGTTGTTATAAAAGGACCTATTCATATTAATATTTCTCACGTATTTTCAATGATTATACATTGCTTTTTAAAGATTTTATTGATAAAAATGTTGATTTTTGACCGCTGTTTCCAACATGAATCAAGTATTAATTGATATCGCACTTTTTATGGGAGTCAAAGTGGATATCTTTTCTATTTCATGCTGAACAGAATTAAACAAACAATGAACAGAAAAGTAAATAAATAATTGGAAACTGAAAGGAAACAATGGCTAAAAGAGGAATGACCTGGCACAGTATAAACATGAAGCTACTGTTCGCAACTGAATTATTCAAACCCATACCACGTTTTGTAATTTGTTCAGTATGTGAAAAGTGATTTGTTCCAATATATGATTCTTGAAAACGTTACATATCGAAGCTTACATGTTATTGCATTCATCAACGGTTTTATTTCACCCAGTCCATTTTTTTAATTCTTGATTGACGATTAAGTTTACAAAGTTTATGAATAATTTAGGTGTTAAAATGAAAACGCCTTCCTCACGGGTTGAGCTGTTTTTGGGGTGACTATTGTACCATATCAAATGCATAGCTGATTACAATTCATATGGCCTCAAACGCACCTACTCCAGTTACCTTTCCAACAGCACAATATTTAAAAAGCTTAATTCCAAAAGGAGCTAAATTCACTTTTGATGAAAATTGAGTAATTGATATCAGAAAATTGTTCACTTAAGTACCCGTCTTAGAACAATTTTATTTACATACATTCTAGGATCAATTTTTAAAAAATGCACCTTCTAATATCACTTTTCAACAGACGCCTGTACAAATTTGGTAAATAATGTTGTTTTTCTCTGAAGTTAAAACAAATGGATTTAGCTCCTTTGGGAATTAAACTCTTCATTTATTGAAGAGTGCATAGTAGCGAATACAGATATAAACTAAGACACTCATCACAGTACATCGCAAGGCATGAATAGAATGCTAAAATCGGACAATATAAACTTCGATTGGAATCTTGGAAGCAATCAACTTTTTAAAACACAATGAACACGACACATCGAATGGATGCACATCATAAATGCGATTTCTTTTTCTTTCAAATTTTCATCGATTCATGGTTCTAAAAGTAGGTTAAGGCACGAAGCCGAAACATTATGATATGAGGTGGCAACTATAATATATTTGATTGAAAAATAATTAAAATGATACAAATGGGGAGGGGGTAACCCCGTGCTACTTTTATCGCCAGAACCGCAAGTGTATGCATGGGCATCCATCCAATTAATTGAAATGAATATACTCCGTATATAGTGTAATAATTTCCTTGGGCAAGGGTTTTTTGTTTCCCGGTGCGTGGGTGTGTGGGTCGTTTGTGTGCGTGTGTTTGTGTGTGTGGAAATAGTATATGTGGAGATATGGGTCTCCCTTATACTACGCGTTGAAGCGAGTTAAATTTAAACGTTAGCAGTGTCCTATTATTCAAATTATGCAAGGAATCCTATTTACCTTCTAGACTTCACTGTCAGACACTATTTGGTGACTGACTGACATCTTTTTTTCTTCGGTGATAAAGTACATTAAATGAGTTGTAACATTTACATGAGCATTTTTCTACACCAATAACCCACTACTTGTATAGCCACAACTAAACTGATTGAATCTTTGTGCAGAACAAAACGTACGATCATTCGGTAAAAGGGTCTGAAAATCAGACTATTACTAGGTGATTG